GCATTTTTTTGTGCACTTCATCGATTGCTACCTCTTACTAACTTCTAAAATTACTATTTATTTAATTAATTATCATTTTTTTGTTATGTTTACTACTACTTGTACTGACTATGTCAGGTCTTAACTTGCCAAAATAAACTTGCCTATACACAAAGAAAATATTTCTTTATAACAAGTACTAATTTTGTTAACTGAATTTGAACTAATCTTTCAAAACTGAATCTGACATCGGATTTGTCTCAAAACTAGATTCAATGATGCCTTCGATTAGCTTAGTGCTGAGTTTAGGAACTTGCCCTTGGTTGAAAATTCCAGGAGCCACAATAATCAATAAGATTGTAAGGAAAACAAATTAAAAAATAAATACACAAGCAATACAATTTTTTTATACATGTATAATAGTTTTATAAAGGCAATAAAATAATTGTAACAAGATAATTTTTGTATACATTACGAAAAAAAATTTTATTAAAGAAAATTATTAAATAACTGCAATCATAATTGTTTCAGGAAAATAGTTATTGTTTTCTAAAAAATGATTACACACCTTATTATAAATACAGAATGATATTATTTATCTATTTACTAGTGGTTTTGACCAGTTATTCAATTATTGAACAAGTAAGAAGGTTTAATAGTGGAAAAATGAATACCTCAATGCTTATTACTGGGATCCCAATTTTTATGATTTATCCTTTTATTTTTCTATTTAAGGAAAAACAGTTTCCAACGGATCTATGCTGATCTGGAGTAGTAGATTTAAATTACGAAATTCTATAGGATCTATTTTGTACTGTATCCTCTTATGTCATTTTAAACCAAGAGTATTATAGCAATATATGTAAAAAAAAAAATTCAACATTATTATTATTAAAGATCTTTTTTACGATTTTACTTTAAAACAAAACTATTTTGCACAAAAAAAAGACCTATTCTTGTGTCTTCATTGAGTGTTTCATTCAATAATTATTTTATTATCTCTAGATATTTATCTAGAAAACATAAGTAATATCCTACACTAAAAGTTGATTTTTACAAACTATTTCTTGATAAAGTTAGATCTTCAGATCCTGGTCTACTTATTACTAAGAAATATTTTCTTTTTGTTTAGTCTAGCGATTTCGGCTAGTTTAAACCTGACATAATTTATTTATTTATTTAAATGGAAGACGTGAATGTAACCTGGACAGGTAGTAGAAAAACAAATGTTTGAAAAACCATTAATTTAATAAAAGAAGGAGATGATCTGGGGTTGCAGTCATAAATAGTGGTAAAACTATTTAGCCTATTTATGACTGCAACCCCGGACCATCTCCTTCCTTTACAATGCAACGGTCAACTATTAAATATTCATTAATTTAATGAATACTAAATACTGTCAAAATTATATTGCAGTTATCACAAAATTGATATTATAATAAGTGTATAGAACATAATTTTTACTGATATTTTTTTTCTTCCAATTTTCAAAATAACATCCTTGCAAAAAAACAAACAAGAAATCGATTCTGGCAATGATTAATATATTCTATTCGAACCATTTAATAGCTTTAATTAGAACATAACTGCTAGTAGGTATTTGTGAATATTAAAGAGAAAGTCTCTCTTTACCTGATGATTATAAGCATAAAAAATCTTTTATTATTGTCTTGAAAATTTTAAAAAGAATTTTGACTGCTTTACATTGCTATTTTTGCTATAAATTATCTTTTATTGCCTATTATTGCTTGGAATTGAAGCTTATAGATTGGATTGTCTAATAATAAATTTGAAGAATACTCTTATATATTTAAAAGAAGTAGGAACATATTGTAAGCTGTTTTTTATGACTGCTCAGTAGATTGCAAGAAGAAATGGAAAATCTCATTCATTACAAAAATACTGGAAAACAAGAATTTTTTTTTGTTTTAAAACATTAATTATGGGTATGAAAGTTTTTCTCATGAGATTAAAAAAATATCATAACATAGTATTTTTATCCAGGAAATGATCAAATAATCTGTAAAAAATAATATTAAATTAGTTTTAACTATATCTTTAAGAAGAAAAATATATTTTATTCTGGGACTAAGTCTCCTTAGAATAACTACTATGTACAATTTAAAGACAATTGTCTGACATTAGGAATAAAGTAAATTACAGGGTAATCTAGATCTAAAATTACAATAAAGAAAAGGCACTGGTAGACATATGACATTGTAGATAAATTTAGATATGAGAGCTCATATTTTTTACACATAAACAATGTGGGTGATATATAATTATCTGTAGGATAACATTAAATGCAACTGACAGATCAGAAAAATGTTAAAATTATTTTAGACATATTTGGAAGATTAATTACTGAGGAGATGGATAGATAAATTATGTTTTAAATGAGGTCAAGGATTAGGATTTGTGTATGGATGTCCATAGGGAATTCCAAAACAAAGTAGCATACACCTATAATATGGGGTACGAGCACCCGCTGGGTTCATGCCTTACCAGAAGGTCTAAACCAACCCTAACCTAGCCTTACACCTGGGACAGTTCTTAAGATGCAAGCACACCACTGGTGCTAGCGTAAAAGGCTAGCTCTACTATTAGAGCTTTCCACCATTTGCTCATCAATACACTGAAACCAGATGACTGGCTGGAACTCTGTTACGATCAGCGGAACACTGGTATCTTACAGGAAGCAGTTGCAACCATTCTTGCCGTCCACCCAAAGCATCACCAGGGCTCCTACGACACCCCATAGTTTTAATTTGATCAGATAAAATTCTTATCTGACCTCAGAGCACGATTGGTCTCAGGCTCCGTTATCATTACAATCGCTACGACTTATCATCAACTGCGAATGATGCAGGAGGGTGCCTGCAGATCCGCAGTCCATGAGGGACGACAAGAACTATCTATAAGCGTCCCCCCTTCCCGGCCGAATTGCTACTACGAGGATTCGCCAGAGCCCTGGGTGGATGGCTTGCACTGCTCGGCTGTGGCGGTCGTAACGGTCGATGTGTTTATGACTGCTCGCTGCACGACACCAGTGTTCAGCTGGTTGTGATGTTGTTCAGACCAGTCATCTGGTATAGTGTATAGATGAACGGACAGAATCTTTGATAAGTAGTGTTTGTCCATTCCGTGAGCACCGGTTGAGTGCTTACACCTTTGGTTCTACCCGGGGTGAGACCAGGCTGGGGCTGGTTAAGACCTTCGGGTTAGGTATGGCTCCAGTAGGTGCCTTGTATTCTATAGTATAGAAGTATCCACTGTGTATCATTGTATAATTTAGTGGTCTTTAATATCATTTAGGTCTTATCCCTGTTGATGTCACTTTACAGGTATCTGTTGTCCGTTTATTCCGAAAAATCATCATGTAACCTTTTAGAAAATTAAATTAGTGAATAATTTGATAAATTTTCCCTTTGCGATATTTCAACAGAATCCACTTACAATTAGTGTTACAACTTTCGACCTGTCTATGACAGACAATGCAAATCTCTTAATCCCATTTTAATAAACTTTGCAATGGAAAATAACAGTTTAATAACTAATAGTCGTACAATCCATAATCAAAGGATCGAAAAATCCATGATTAACCGGTAATATAATAAATAGGACATTTATTATTTTAATAGTATTTATGTTTTGTTAGCTGCAATCTTTTTGCTTTAGTTAAAAATGCAATTCAAAAATTTTATAATTGCTCATCATGACCAGAAAATAATTTCTATGCAAAGTTCAAAGAGTAAGTGAAAGTTGTGTGTTGCGCTCATCAGATTTTTTTTTATGTTCATATAAATTCTTGGAGTTTCTTTATCTCAATTGGCTTGTTTTGTCATTCCTTCATTTATTTGTCGGAATACTTCTGACTGTGAAAATTATTGTTAATAATTAAAATTGCACATATATCATTAAATCAAATACATTGAAGCAACTATGGCTAATCTTCTCATGAGAGTTTCTCATTTAATTATTCTATTATCACAAAACAAAAACAAAAATTAGTGGTTTGAGAATGACTGCTTAACTGTGTTAAATTAATAATTTTATTACATACTAATCAGTCTTTTAAAGATAATATTAAACCAAAATCAGATGAAAAATTGATTGATTTTTAAAAATTCCTTCATATTTTTTTATGAGTTTGTTTGTTATTATTTGATTTTTTATTGGATCTTTTTAAACTATTGATTAATTAACACCTACAAAATATGATAAAATTCAAAGTATGCTTAAATAGGATTTTGTCTTTTGGATTATTTAATTCTTTATAAGCCCAATCTTACAGCGAAATGGCTGGTTTTGAGAATGGATCAATTGTTCTTCAATGAAAATGAACTTTTTTAATTTAGTGCATATTAAAATATCAATTTAAATGTTTTAATTAAAATACCAATCATATTATATTTCCCAAACCAAGATATATAGAGGTAATATTTAGTCTCCAGATCTTTTCTATGGCTGAAATGAATACTTTAAAAATATACTGTCTGAATCAATATTAAAAATATTAACTGCCATAATCAAGGTAGGAAATTTCTCATTTGTTTCATTGGATAATAAATAACTACATTATAGGAAATTTTAGTTATGTTTAAATTGGTCTAAAGTCAGGAAACCTCAAACAAATCAATTTCACTTAAAAATATTTAGTGGTGTTAATTTTTATTTCCCTTTGAACTTTCAAATAACAACAATTTTTTAAAAACGAAAACCAGTATCACTGAAGTTATCTTTCAACTTTTTAAGATAAGTTCGTTGGTGGAAGCTATTGCACCCGAAGTGTAAATAGAACATATTTAATTTGAGCTAACATTTTTAAGGTTTCTTTTAAATGGAAGATTATTTGTTAATTATTACCATGTAACTTGAATCATTTAACTGTTAACCAGCAACAAGATAATTAATATTCAGTAGACGAAAATGTAAATGATTCACTGTTTTAATTGTTTTCCATTATCAAATATTTTTCTCTAAAATCTGGTTTGCTTAAATTAACAAATTCTTCCACTAACATGAAGTTTATTAAGCTGTTAATTTCGTATATCTTGGTAAGTAGAGACAAATACTTAGGTAAGGTATTATTTTATGGTTGAATTGAAATTACTTAAGTTTTTCTTAACTGCTTTCTATTTTACAAAATTATCAGCATATAATTTCTGTATAATATAATCAAGTTGATAAGTATTCATAACTATCCTATTTACTTTTAAAATTTTATTCTATGAAAAATCGACCATAATTTAAAAAAAAAGACGAAAGTTTGTAAGCAACTTAACCTTCTTTTAGATGAACCGTGCTAAGCCAAACACTAAATTGTCAACAGATAATAGTTTTGAATCTTTAATTCAATGACGGTAATGTGGTGTATTTATTAAATAATTACTGATATTATCATCATTGATTACCATATTTGTCATACATCATTGTTATGGTCAGTTGCCCAAAACAAGTATTATCTATATTCTTAAAGCCTCTACCTACTATTTTTCAAATTGTTTATGGGTTCTGTGATGAAATTCAGCCAATTTCTGTATTTATAATAATGAATTGGATTTAAACACTCTATGGCCTTCTCTACTTATCTGTGAATTTATTTTATCGTGTTTGTTACCTTATTTTGCATTATTAAACATATTTTAACCGAGATTGGTGATGCAAGTATTTGTTTATTTTAACTTTAAACCTGTAATATTGTTTTGATGATAGGCTCAACTTTAGGAACAAATTTGTCTTGAATCCGATGGATTTATTTTTAGTAAACATTGGATAAGTACATTTGACATAAGTACACAGCATATTTGTGGGGATACACGTTTTTTTCAAAAAATATGAAAAGGGAACATGGGATATCTGATGTCATAATATTAAACTATTTTCAGTATTTCATAAACAAGTGTGACTGAAGTAATTGTGAATCATGCTTAATTCATGTGGCCTTTTAAATTAGTACTGAAATGTTAACAGAGGCTCATTAATTCAAGGAAGCCATACTTGTCAAGAACTTCAATAGTTCTTGATTGTGATGTGATAGTATAATAATCCCTGTTGTACAATTTTGGGGTATTATTGTGCTGATAGGTGCTCCATGTTTCATCTACATTGGTCGAGTTCTTAAAAAGTACTGATGATCCTCTCCCCTTTTCACTAACAAAAAAATTGGGTTTTTTTACTTACAAAAAATTTTTAGTCAACCTAAAAGAAACATGCCTACCAAGTTTTAATAAAATGAGAAAATATATAATTGCTCATGAGATTTTATTCCCAGACCTTGACCAGAGAGTGGGGGATATATTTAAGTATGCTGATTTAGTCAAACAGTATTTCTAGTTGACGGATGTGAAATGTGGGTACTATTACCATTTATGTTAAAATATATCTAAAAAATCTAACCTATAACTCCTGCCATTGGATAGTTCATTAATTTAAGAACCAGTTCTTCTCCGGCCTTCAAACTATTGCCCTGATGATGATGACCCATATGTTTGGGTCGAAATGTCAGCAAACTCAGTATACATAATTTTTTTATTGCACATCGTGACCATTTTTCATCCTTTCAGTCTAATGAAATAATCACATTAAATTACTCTACAAAAAATTATTGTTTTATACTTCTCCCAATTTAAACAGTAGTGAATGGTCCGATTTTTAAGGCCCGTTATATTGAGTATATCTCTTTGAATTTATTAGAGTACAGGCCTATCAACTACTGGCAAAAGTCCTCATTATAAGGCTCCAGAAGTTGGCACCCATTCCTTCATCAAGATAAGTTAAAAACAGACAAAACATTATTTACAAACACTCAAAAAACAATCAATAAAAAATTTTGGGATGAATCCGAGTAGTTAAAGAGAAAAAGGCAAACCCATGGTATGGTGCTCTTACTGACAGATGGTTGTTCCTGGGACACTAAGTGGACCGTGAGGGACCTTCTTAATTTGGCATTCATTATTTCAGTTGTGATTTCTGGCAAGATTAAAGCACAGCTGACAAAATACAAGGAGAAAATATATGAAATAGAGGCCTAGGAGGTCATGAAAATTTATTATTCCCATTTTTCGAGGATGTCAGGTATAGGTACACTGTCAACTATTGGTGCTTTTGCCGTAAGACACAAGGCTTACTGCCTATAGGTAAAGAACAGTCAAGTAGAATTAGCAAAACAGTTGTTTGAAGTGTCTAAATATTTTTTAAAAAAAGAAGAAATTAAAATTTTCATTTTGTTCTATTGATTACCTTTCTCTCTTTTTTTATGTATATATTTATCATGATTACTATAGGTTAAGCATATGGATTCTTTTTAATTAATCTTTGTGAGTTCTAAATTTAAGTTTCTAATGTTACAATAGAGGATTTATCTTTATATTGTGGTGTTATGTATCTAAGTTAATATGTGAAAATATTTTAATTTATTTTTGTTAACAAAATTTTTTTATATCAGATTGAGATTTAAATTAGATTTTAAGACTTTTTTTAAATTTGAGATAAAAACAGGAAATCTTAAATGTTAAAAATTGATAAATAAATAAAGTCTTATTCAGAAATTTGAATTATTTCTTGTTTGTTTGCTCATGTCTCCATATGAATATGTATTGTTTTAGGTGTTTGCTGTCATATCATTTATTTTGTTCTTAGTTACTTTGACTTTATGTTGGATGAGCTATAAAAATTCCTTACAAGAAATTGAGCGTTTATCATTCATTGTAAGTATCAAAAATAATGCAGTACTGATGCAAATGTACTGCATGACATAATCACTAAACTGTTCATCATTACTACTAAATAGTTAATCATTAAATTTTGAGTAATATTTTAATCACAAGTATTCAAGTGAACCAAGACTTGTATTAATAATTTAAGTTAAAACATTCCAAAGATGTGTACTAAGCCACTGTTTATAAAACCAAGCCCTGCCGTAATTCAATGCAAGACTATTATTTCCTAGTTTAGTATTTCTTTATTATAAAACGGCATTATCTAAATTATTTTAAAGAAAACAAGTATCTAAATGAGAACTCACATAAGATAGATATCCTCCTCCCTTATACATTCAACTTATTAGCAATTTTATTAAAATTACAGAATTTACTCCATTTTTGAATCTCATATTCTCAACATCATTATTTTTGAGGCACCTCATAATCTGGCATTTATTTTTTTCATTACCGTTCTATTAAGAAGTATGCTAAGTCTTAAAGATATAATTTCTGAAATGATTTTTCCACAATAAAGAACATGAAATAAATGGCTTGAATTTAAAATGTTTATTAATTTAGCAATAGAATTTTTTTTTCCTAAAGGAGATGGTTCAGGAGTTGGTCAGAAAAACCATCAAATAAATCTCAATTGTTTATCCAATGCGGAAGTTTCGATCCACATTGTAGACCTTCATCACTAGTGAATCCAGGCTTCTCCTATATATAACCTTCTCCAATTCAAGTCCTCAGTCCACTCCCTCTCCACAAGATCTCGACCTTCCGACCTTTACATTCCTTCTCACAGATCTGCCTCGTTCCAAAACTCCTTTATTGCACGTTCTGTTAGTTTCTGGAATTCCCTTCCAATCAAAATTCGACATTCTTCATCCTTATCTACATTCAAAACCCTCCTATTCCAATTCCTGTCCCAAAAACAGTCAGGCACCAGCTAATCTTTTATGTAAAATTACACATTATATATAAGACCATATTCACATATAGCTCATGACCTGAATACTTATTATAGATTCGACTTTCCTTTTCTCTTTTTTTTTTTTTTTTTTTTCTGTTTCAACAGAAACAGATTTTACTGTTAAGAAGAATATACATTTATTTTTTCTGTATTTTTTATTTTTTCTAAAAGGATTTATTTATGTTTTAACATCGTAAATAGTTTTAAGTATCTTAGTATGGTTTCAAGAGTTTTTTATATAGATTTTTATATTTTATTTTGTATATAGTATGTATAACCAATATTTTTTTTCTTTTCTTTTCTTTAATGACCTATCATTATCTTAATTTGTTATGTTTGTTTTTATCTGGCCAGATGTAAAATTTTAATTTCTGTACTTTTTTGTTATTCTGAAGGGACTTCGTCCCAGAATAAAATTATTTTTCTATTCTATTCTATTCTATAATTTAATTTTTATATAAGAAATAATTTTTCCTTAGGCATGGTTATATTTTACCATTTTGGAGGGTTTCAGCCCAAAAGCCCTCTCCTTCGTAGATCTGTGTGTAAATATAACCATGCCTAATGAAAAAATTATATTATTATTATATATATAAAAAATTATTACATATATATATATATATATATATATATATATATATATATATATATATATATATATATATATATATATATGTATGTATCATCCCTCCAAGATTCCAGTTTATGTGATGTGCCTTGAAGATAATAATGACTTTATGAATACAAGATTCTGAAATAGCATAAAAATCCTTCATTAAGATATAGAAATTATTTTTCTAGATCTTTTAATACTAAAAAGTAGATGTTAAATGTAAACCTTATATTTTCACTATACATCAGCCGTATGACTCTTGTCAAAGTTAAAAAGCAGTATGAGTTATTGAAAATAGAAAAGGAAACTTACATTGTTCTCCTATGGCACATTTTAATTTGATCATAAGAAGCATTTAAGACAATTCATATTTTACACTCAGCATGTAATTATGATATTAAAAAAATCTATAAAAATGAAAAATTATTTTTGGAAGTCATAAATTTTGTTTACATTATTACAGCTACATGTGGAATATATTTATTGTATCATCTCACATCAGCAATGTTTATCAACCAATTTTTCAATATTTGTAATATCAACCACAATCCATAACTATATCAGTATCAGTTTTACTTTTTATTGAACTGTTATAAAGTTGAAACCTATGATGACATTTCCTATCCTGTAATTTATCTTGTTTTTTTGCTTTACAATCAACACTTTAAATTTCTACTACATGCATCTAAATCTTACTATAATACCATTTCTGGATAGATACATTTGTATTCATCATTTATTTTTTTAGGATGGATTTGTAGATTCACTTGTACATACATATTTTTATGGCTATTTAAAAAAAATAATTCCTGACCATGGGACTGGAATGGGAGGTAATCAGCTATTGTTTTATTAACTACCTTTTGATTTTTTCCCCCTTTAATGTTCTATTTTTCAAATATATTAGGTCTGGATGACAAAATAAGGTTATATAAAGAAAAACAAAACCTTTCAGATAAAGAATTTCCATTGCATAAAATCTTCATTATTATATGTGCTTCTGGTTTTGTACCACCTACCCTGGAAAAGATTGATAACAAACGGATTGAAGCTCGACAGGTATGTTGTCTGTTTTTAACTTATTCAAGTCCTAGATTTGTATTCATAAGTTTTATTTAAAAAAAAAAACTTCGAACTCAATAATAGCAAAAAAAGGTGTAAAGATAGGCTTATGCTTCGTTTGTTTTTTGTACAGTTTTTCAAAATATTCCCAATTCATATTCCTAAATATTTTTCTTTAAATCTTTAGAATACCTTCCTGTGAATTCTTAGCTTGTCATAATCTCAGTAATATTTATAGATGTTATAATTAAATTGTAGTTACTAAAATAAACTAATTTCACATTACAACACAATCAATTGAATGAAAAAATTAAATATCAGCTTGTTCATTTAGAAGCAGTTGGCAGTGATCTCTTTAAATCTTATTGTAAGGCTCTGTGTCCATATCTCAAGTTGTCGATTATCAAAGATAAGAAAGTAATAGAGAAGTAGTAAATTTCGTCCGAAGCATCCAGTCTTTGCTAATACATCCCACACATACTATTACAAACAATTGCATAGCACAGTTAAATAAATTAAGACAATCCCTTAAAGTGCACAGTTACTGAAAGTATTACTCAAAATAATTTAAACATTATATCAATGACTGAAAGCTGTGGCAAATATTGATATAATTGCCATTTTAGATTAATGCTTTTAAACGAGCGTTTGAAATCAATATTGATTTGTATATTAGTAAAAATAAAATATGTGTATTACCTAAATATACCAATTAGTACGAAATTAACATATTTAATTTTCAAAATTCAAGTCGATCTGTTAATATTAATAAAATAAAATTATTTTTAATGATTTGTAGTACATGGATATGTCGTCTACTCTGAACAAACATTTACTAACTTAAAAAAAATGTTATGGAAAAATCATATACTAAATGAGGAGCTATGAACCTCTTTTCTTCCTAACTATTTGCCCCATTCTAAAGCTTTTTTAATCATTCTCTCCTGAAAAATCATTCATTTTGACTTAATACACTTTTGTTCTAAATGGATGATACATGGAAATATCAAACATACAGGTTTTTTATCTTCTTCTTTTTACTTTATTTTCGATTCAATCACTAGAGGTTTTGTCATCTTATGTTCAGTGTGATATCCTTAGAAGCATATAATTATAATATATCCTAATAATTAATAAAAATGAAAAGAAAAACAATTATATTTCCAATATTTATAAAAAAAAAATCTTTATAACAGATTCATAACTTTGATCAAACTGAGCTATATTAGATTATCACATAGTCATGATTTAATTTTAGTATAAATAAATAAAAAAATATAGATGAAAATTTGAGAACTAGGTGAAGAGGTGAAAAATAAAATTTTTATTTATTTCCATCTAGTATATCATTACAAAATGGGTCAAAAGTCAACAATATTTTATTTTTATTTTTTGTTACAGAGAACTTCCTAACAGCTGCCGTTACATGTATTTATATATTCCGGTTTTGATTAAAAATAAATGCCTAATAAGTGAATGAACTTAAAGTTATTAAATCTATAGGCACCTTTAAAAATCCACTTTCTTGTTTATTTTTTGTATCTTCTTATTATTTCAAGAAAAAGGAAAAATTTATATAAAGGATATATTTGCTGAGACTGAATATTATAAATTTGAACCATTTTAATTATTAAATATCTTAGTTATTAAAATATTAATTTATTCTTCTTTGGATAATCATAAGAGAGGAAAATTATAAAATTGATCTAATTAATAATTACTCACATCTAAGTAAGAACAGGTAGAAACTATTTAAATAGTGCTCAATTTAGCCTTATGTAAGTGACTATTGTTGCACCAGACAAGATCTGGGAATCACAGGAGTTGGGGGTTAATGTATTTATGTTGATCTGTTTCTGGTTTTTCTAGATTTTTTAAATTTAAATTTTATTTATTTTTTTACAGACAATGTATAGATTTATGAATATTTTTTTCTAATTAATATCTATTATAATTGAAATTAGATGAAGAGTTCATGTAGAAGCAAAACATACTTAATCCCTTTAGAAGGGTCTGAAATATAGTTCCTAACAAAACAAGTAGGGGTATTTTTCTTTTGAACAAACATGATTTTTTTTTAAATGCTGCGTATTCATGGAATGAAAAACATACGTTTGTAACATCCTCACTAGGGTCACACTAAATTAAAAAAGATCAAAACGAAAAATTCTCTTCAATATCTCTCACACTCAAATGATGTAAACTTCCGAAGTAAAACGTTTAGAAAATTCACTTATTAAGTTCTGAAATCCGAAAGCTATTGAATAACTAAGGGCAGAAAAAGACGCGAGCAGCAGAGCTCCATCACAGAGGACGTACAATCCCTAAATTTTGTTTGTAAAACAAAATAATAATGCTTATCTGAGAAAGTGTTATAGAATTTTAAAATTAAGTAAACTCATTTTTTTAACATTTTATTATTTGTTTTCGAGTTTAATTCATCTAAATGGCGGGGATGGAAGAAAAATATCGATTCTTCAAAAAAAAAAAAAACACGTATAATAGACTGTGTAATTTATTGTGAAATATAGAAGCACGCCATTTTTTATACAATCTTTCTTGTTTCCATTTGATATGTCACTCGTAGTTTTCGGTGCTCACCACCATATTCATCTAAAAAAATAATTACATATAAAATCCGTTATAGTTTCTAATTGTTTAAGATTCTGCTGTTTTTTACATACCTTTTCAAGCTAAGTTTAAATTTTTTCCCAATCATTGCAGATTGTTGTCGCACTCTATAACGGCAAAACCCTATGAAATTATATTATATTTTCGATATATATACTAAGGGATCCAGGATTTAATTTTGGGGGAAGGGGAGGGCTTCAGCCCGAAAGATTTTTTTTTTTATGTATATATTACGATAATTTCTTCGGGAGATAAAATTAATCACCTGTATGAAATGGTGTTTAAGTGATTCTTTAAGTCCTATTAAATGTAATTAGACGAACAATAATACTTATAGAGACAATTTTTTTCATAAAATATGGTTATATTTTACCATTTTGGAGGGGAGGGGCCTTCGGCCCGAAAGTTCTCCCTTCTCCACGTAGATCCGTCTGTGGATATATATATATATATATATATATATATATATATATATATATATATATACATTTATTAGATGAAAATTGTATTGAGCACCAAAAGCTTTAAGTGACAGACATGAAGTGAAAATAAATGAGACCGTATAAAAAAAATGAGTGTTTCTATATTTCTTGAAAAGAATTTCTTTAACGCTAACTCAATCCAGATATAAATTTTAAACTCTTTATTTCAGTGAGGAGGGGCTGTAGAAGTGCACAAAACATTGAAAATTCCTCCCTAAAAAGTCCTCGAAAAAAAAAAATGGCGGGTAGGAGGTAAAGGGAAAATTGAGGCTCTCGAAAAGTACTTCTATACCACAAAATCAACTAACACACGAAATGTTATCCTTCTAGGCTGATTTGAAGGGACTGTAAATAGTCCGTGAGAAAAATCGACATTATTTGATGAAAATTCTTGATATTTATAACATTTACATTAAAAAAATGAGAGGATATTGCTACCTGTAAAAATGGCGGCTGATTTAAAGAACATTATACCAGTAATTTGATCACGGGAAAATCATTGCTCAAAATGTGGGAAAAGTTTTTATTTTTTTAACTTGTATGTATTGGTTGAGACCTTGTAAAAAAACTAAGTTGCTAACGCGGGCCACTAAAGAAAAACTTTTTATAGAAAAGAAATCCAGTTTGTTTCGATCTTTTTTTTTGTTTTTCACCTATAACTCCTAAACGGTGATCGTTACGAAAAGCACTTTCTTTAAGAAATTAAAGAAAGTTAAATTGTATTTCGAACGAGTACAAGTAGTATGTTCGATAACCACGTTCTACAAACACTAGTTTTACCAAATTCGTCAAAAACTAAAAAAATTTACTTTAAATTCCCTGCAGCTTGGAAATGAGTTCTCCAGAAGAAAAAAAATGATAAAATAGAACATCAAATGCCGCGATCACTGTGTACTATAATACTTTTCTTCTATGAGTCTTTACCCTTTTCTTTTCCAAGCTTCTGCGTCATTTATAGTAATTTGTATCAGTTTTTGATAAATTTGGTAAAAGTCAGCGTTGTTTGACCGTGGTTAATGATCATTCCACTTTACCAAATGATAAAGTTCAGGTACAATTTAACGTTCTTTAATTTCGAAAAGGATGTGTTTTTCGCTTTGATGCACTCGTTTAGGCAGGTGAAAACAATTAGGCTTTTTTGGCTGTAAAAAGTTTTCCCTTGGTGGCCGTGGCCCGCGATAGTAATTTTGTTTTTTTACATGTCTCAATCAATATATACTAATTAAAAAAACGAAAACTTTTCCCACATTTTTCGCAATGATTTTCCCGTTTCGATCCTCAATTCGCCTAATATTCTTCAAATCCGCCGCCATTTTTACAGGGAGCAAGATTCGACTGGCAAACTCTCATTTTTTAAATATAAATATTTAAAAAAATGCGTTTAGAATTTTCATCAAATAATGTCGATTTTCTTCTTACGAGCTCTCGGACTAAAAGGTGCAAGGTGCGCAAAACTTTTTTTAAGAAAAAAACGGAAATGCAAAAAATACAGAACATTTCGAAATTTGTTATGGTAATGTTCTGCATAGAAACAACTCATGTGACATGGGAGAGGGTCCCATATGGGGAGTGGTAATATGTCCCATAAGTAGAGGGAAATATTTAAAAGGTTGTAGTAGATATCAAGATCTACTAGAAAGTTCATTTAAACTATTGTCCATCTAGAAGTAGAGTTTGTTATTGTTAAAACTATTTTTTTTTTTTTTTTTTTTAAATTTCTTTATTGAGTATTATAACAATCTGTCTGTTGGACATTGGTTATAGTGAGGTAGGATGACATTCACACCATATGTACAAAAAAATAAAATAATTAGAACAAAATAATAATCAAAAGTATATACAATAGACAATAAAATAAAATAACCTAAAAAATAAGAAAATTAAAACTAAGAAAAAAAAAACACATGCATACCTATATACAATCAGGCGAGGGAACTCCAGGAGAACCCTGCGCTACTCTCCCAACCGCGTCACTTAAAGAAGACTATTGAGCAAACAAACACAACTACGTTTCGTTTAAAAAAAAGTCATAATTATTTGTGTTATATTTTTTTTTATCGTCCTTCAACTGTACTATATTTATCCCACTTTTAGAAACACATCCTCGTCCATATTAATTAAATTGAAGTTGATTAGGGAAAACATTGAGATTCACGTCAAGTTGTGTATAAAATTATGTGATTTTCTATCCAGTCACCCCTTGTTTTCTGCAAAAATGACTACAATTAACTGTTACAAAGCTTTTATCTTTGCATAAATTAATTATGCAGTCAAACTAGCACAAAAAATGAATCTACCTTGTAAAATGTCTGGTAATTTAAATTTATTTTTTATATTGTAATGTATGAAGTTAATATAAAAATCTGGTGCGATGCGCGCATCACACAACTTTCACTTAACCACCCTCTTAGCAGAAACAAGTATTTTAAAAAAAAACGAAGTGAAAGTAAAAATTATAGACTCTATATTTATTTATATTTCATTGTGGGTATTTTTATTTGTATAAGTACTCAGATATATATAAATTTTAATATTTATATCACTGTAATCTATACAATTAAATATTAAATAATACCAACAATAGCATTTATGAAAACCACATATGTATATTTATATAATATGTTCGGAGTCCATATTATATTAAGCTCATGATATGTATGAAGCGTGTTCTAATCTTTCGGACGAGCTTGGGTGCGCTCGTATTCCTTTGGTTCCTTAATTACAACTATTCTCCATTACGATCTCTTATTTCTCCTTTAGTTATTTATCAAATTCTTTCATATTTTATATTTAATCATTTCTTATAATAGAAAATAATGTGAAATGGTCAACTGTTTCAAATAAAAAAAATTAAAGGTACTTCAGAGGAAGCTAATATTGTAAATTAGCCATTTAAACCCTGTTAGAGAACATCAATCAGAATAATAACCACATTTTATTTAAAAATGCTTAATTTTACGCTGTTATGATGAATTTAATCAAAATCGTTGAAGCGATTTTCGAAGTAATTGTAACATTTGTTTAGTCTATTATATAAAGTGCCACTTTCAGTTAGCCAATTTTGATGAAAAAGTTGCTGTAACATACCTAGCGCATAAAAACCTTAAATATGAAATTTCACTTCCGTACGATTTTTCGTTTTTGAGCTAGATTGTTAACACACTCTCGGACCATTTTGCAGGACTTGGTTATTTGGACTCAGGGAACCTTAAAACATGTATTTCGGTTGAAAACTCGGATTCAAAAATTTTCACCATCGCAATACTTATCCTTACTATATATTACATACATAGATAAATGAAAGTAAAAATCCAAGTTTCGTTCGTTGCAGTGCTCCAAAAACCATTGAAATTTCGAACTTTTTTTGGTTTATGCTAAAAAAAATTTTTTTATAGTGATATGGATAAAAAATTGTTATATTCAATCTTAAACATCTTGAAATTATCTAACATTTTTGTACATAACATTTTTTTCTAAACCCAACAGGAAGCAAACTATTGAGCCTTCAAAATGTGTGAAGTTTTGAAAATTCCTAAAAGGTGTTTTATGTTTTTAACTAATTATCTGTGTTCATAGGTAACTTATCTTAGCTCAATTCTTTAAATTAAATATTAAAGGATTCACAATTCACTTCAACTTTTATTGGAAACATACTTTTCTAAATTTAACAACTTAAATACAAATCAAAATAAATTTAATTTAACAAATTAGATAAAAATAAATAGATGTTTTGAAATTTTAAAAAAAAATCCTTATAATTTTATTTTTATAGTTTTCCTCTTATTTTAATGAAATTGGTCATCAACAAGTACTTCTTTTCTTTTTACCACATTTATGCCCACATCATTCAGCAGGTACCCATAAATGGCATAGTACAAGAATATGGATGTAAAAAGAAAAAAAAAATTGGACAATTATGATTGTATTAATATTAGTTTGTTAATACAATCAAAATAATTTACTGAAAATGTTATAATATTATTATAATGTTATTATGTGTCATTTATGAGTACTGAATAATGTGGCAGAGACTGAAAATTTAGGTGCCTATGCCAGTACCACTTTTCTGCTGATTAAGTGAATTTTCTAAGTAAATGTTTCAAATATTTTAAAAAGTAATAAGTGTTTTAGAAAGAGAAATGTATTCTCCAAATATTTTATTACAGGGGGTTTTTCGTTCTGGTGGCTATTTATTTAAAAATAAATATATTTATACGCTTAATTTGAAGAACTTCTTAATGAATTATGAATCTCAACACTTCCTCTTTTAGCCAAAGTAGATTCAGATATCATCATTTCTTAAAAATAAAAACCCATTGGAGTGTGATTGAAAAAATAAATTGTAATAATTTGATTAAGAGTGTACACATTTCCATTTCGGAAGTATGATAAAAATATTAGCTTGAAAAAGGAAACTCGGAATAGAGTTTTTTATTTACAAATCTTCAAAAAATCTTGACACACTTTAGAAAAAAAATTTAAAATATGCTTTGAATTAATAATGTCAATTATTATGAAAATACAAAATAGTTTATTTTTATAAACATGGATACAGAACATCAATATCAGCAATAAATATTGGAAATAAACTAACATTCTCAATATTCTGCTGTTATCAAAGAGGCATTTTTATACTACAAATGGTAGATGAATAATCTATTTGAATAAGAATTTATAGTTCACTAAATATTTATTCTCCTCTCTGACATAAAAATAATAGGTTTAACACTGAAGATGCCATTTTACATCTTACCATACATATTTTATTTTCTAAGAACATTCCTGTGTTATGTCATGGCGAAGACCATGATTTTACAGGAGCTTCTTGAATTCATATAAACTTAAAGTGGATACTTAACATTATTCAGGAGAAAAATCAGATGGCTGATGCTTAAATCTAACTAAATTCTATCTTAAAAAGTGCATTATAATATAATTGGAATTATTTTATTATCATCACTTCATCTCTCATTGCCTTAATATTGTTACATCCTTTTCTTGTTTTTTATTAATTTAAACCTTTTACAAAATCCTTTGAAAAAAGAAGTTTAGTTGTTTAGGCTCATCAACTAGAATATTTTTTTAACAACCATTATGATGAATATGAACCATGAACGGAAAGGATTTTTCAGTTTTATTAATGTTTACAATTATACTTATTATTTTTTATATTGTCAACAGTATTTATTTTTTTAGCATTTAGATCCATCAGTTTTTAATCGTGCTGGCACAAAAGGTCGACTTTATGTAATATCTGTTTATAAGGTTAAATACCGTAATTTAAAGGATCACATTACAGTTGCCATGGAGGGTACTCCCCAGTTACTTACTGTGCTTGACGCTTCTATAGAGTATCCTGGTAAGTTTGCTTTTATATAATTATAAAATCCTTATAATTGAGTCTCACACTTAATAACTGAAAACTGTTTCTTATGAAGCTTTTTTGTTAAATATTGGGTCTGTAAATTTTCTACCTCTGGCAGATAACCAACCTATTCTTGCTAGAATGAGATGCTTGGTAGTTATTCTATCGGGCCCGTCACAAAATAAAAGAGTTAATCTCAGGATTTAAACTTCCTACTTAAGTAATTCATTTAATCTCCACAATTAATAATGGTCATAAATTTCATTTTACAGCAGTTGTTTGGTGTGTGCAGTCACAAGTATAAATAAATAAATTATATTTATTTTTCCATATATTTATTATTTCATTTATTTTCCAGTCTACCAACTGATTCCTGCAGTAGCTGATTCCACGCTCTGATGAAGACCTACAAAGTGGGTTGAAACATCTGCGTGATGAATAAAATACTATTTTAATAATATAGTATTTATTTGACCTCACCTCCGACCAACTCCTCATATATTTATTTTTGCCTACATTTCGGCCCAAAGTTTATGCCTTCATCAGGACTAAGAAAAGAGAAGATAACAATAGATATAAGAAAATATTAATGGTAAAAAATAATAGATATGTAGGTGAAAGGTATAGTAGTCTAATAGCATGTAGGTAGAATAAACTTCACATTAATTAATATGCGGAAAGGCAGAAATATGAATAATAAATAAAGGAAATATAAAATAGCAATAAAAACTTTCTACTTTCTATTCCTAATGTTGTTATCATTGTTTTATATTTCTGCCTTTCCACATATCTATTCATGTTAAATTTATTCTACTTACATGTTATTAAAATACTATATCTTTCACCTAAATATTATTATTTTTTACCATTAATATTTTCTCATATCTATTGTTATCTCGTCTTTTCTTAGCTCTAATGAAGGCCTAATCTTTGGGCCGAAGCATCGGTAAAAATAATTATAGTTTATTTAACTTTACGTTTTTATTTGTGACTGCACACCCCAACCAACTCCTTTACAATATATCCACGACAGTCAACTATTAATCCATTATCATAAATTTCATTGTTAACTATCCATAGATTTATAGTCTCGTATCGTTGAACTGTATCAAAATTACAATTTATTACTTATTTTAATTCAAATGTCTGCTTATAATTCAGGAATTTCATGTGGTATTTATTATTGCTGGTGCAGTTTTCTTCATTATGAGGGAATATTTTCAGTTTTCTTCTACTTCTTTTGTCACTTGTTCCTTTTGTCCTGCCATAATTGCTGCTCTGCAGTTCTAAAAACTCGAGATGGTGCGAACATCATTGGCAACTAAGCTTGCCTACCCCTTGTTATCTGATCACTTGCTATTCTATTGATGTGTTCTGCTCAGGGAGAATCACTAACATTTACTACTCAGGCTATATTCTGGTAGGGCCCCATCAAGTCAATGCCTATTCTTAATTTGAAATATTTTCAGTTTCATTTCAAAATTGAACATTCATTCAAAAAGATTTGAACTAAAAATCTATAATTAAATTTTTTTCAGTTTAAAATTATTATCTACGTTGTATAGATTAATTTTATTTGTAATACTTAGCAAATTCATTTTTATATCATTGTTTAATTGATTAATTTTGCTTTTTTTAGAATTAAAAAACAACAAGAAACAAGTTATTGAGATGTTCTATAAAAAATTATCAAAGAAATTAGCTGACAATGCAGAATTCCAAAATTCTTACGAGCTTGTATTTTACAATGGTATGTAGAAATAAATATATTTATATATATTGGATAAATTGTTTTAATATGCATCATTAAATCAAATACATGCCATTGCTGAAAATAAATGCTAGCAAATATGAAATTTAATTTTTAACTGCCTGTTTAAAATTAACCACGATATAGTAGCTATGTGAATGTTAATTTTGTCTGTTGTTTTGTTTAGATGACCCTGATAAGCCAGCTACATTAGCGGATGAAATTATTCTTAGGCATATTGACAAAGGTTTAGTAAAACAACAAGAAGCCATGGAGTATCCTTCAAGTATAAATTCAGTGAATGAATCCTCCAAGTTGCATTGAGGTAAATATTCTGTTGAATAATGTTTACTTCGATACAGCCTTAATTTACCTCAAACAACAGAGACCTTAGCTTTTAGACTTACTGTCATTTGTTTTAATGCTGCATGATCTTAATTTAAGTCTTTTAAAAATCACTGTATAAGAACTAATTGTTTTATTTAAGATGCCATATTATTTAGCTATCAATATATTGTCCTGCAAACGAAGAATAAATAAATATATACAAAATTGCATCATTACAAGAAATAATTGAATTGTAATTACAACAAATTTTACTTGAAATTTTTTACTAGTTATTTAGATATTAATAAAGGATATTTTCGATACCATAGCCTCTAATCTACTCAATTTTAATTTGATTTAAACTTTAATTTATTTATTCATTTTTTCGTTTACCTCCTGCCTCGCCATATCTGGTATAAGATGAGAGGAGAGGAAAGGGGGGTTCTAGAAGTACAGCCAAACACATTCTAACCAGAGTGGGAAGCTCGAGATTCACTCTGTGAGTCTGCCGCATATATATGGTGGTGGTATAACGGTTACAGTGCCAAACTCCCATAGTTAAGCTCCTTGGTTCATGACTCAATTCATAAGCTCCTCAATTCATTTGTGGGCAAGGTGGCCAAGCTTGTTAATGTGTGTGTAAAACACACGTTGCCTGACAACCTGATAAACCGAAGATTACAAATTCAAATCCTGGAGTCAGAGGGACTTTTAACTCTGGTATTAATTCCCTGGCCCAGAAAAAAACCTGTATAGGCAGTACAGTATACAGTGTAGCAGTATGTATTAATAATATAACATTATATATCCTCCTCTTTTTTTCTTTCATTTTATGTATTAGAAACATAAAAATACTTTCATTAATATATCACAATATAAAATTCTAAATATCATTTAAAGAATCAAGTGTCCCTCATTTTTGAAATATTATTATTTTAAGATAATAATAAGTAGTATTCATTGACTGTTGTAATTAGTATCATTTTTCTACTACTCCTGTTTGTAATATTAGTAGTTACAAAAGATCACATAATCTGATGGGTATTTTTCTAACTGAAAGTATAGTGTTTTCAAACTATTTGTTTTCAAAGTAGAAACCCAATGAAAGTATTAGGTATTGAACGTTTAAGTAACAAAAATAAAATTTAGTTGAGTTGACAGTAGTTTAATACTTTATTAAGTTAACATAAAATTATATATTACTTAGATCATTTATAAATAAAATATCTGCAATTAAGCCACTTTTATTAATGATGTTATGATTAATATTATCAGATGGCAACTATTGGAAATGTCATTTATTCATTGTATTTAATATATAATTTTAGGTATTAAGAAACTGAATGGTGTGGCTCTGTTAAACATTAAATACTTATGATTGGAATAACGTCCAAGTATGTTTCAGCTAATTAAGGCTTGACTTGTACGTTGAAAAAGGTATTTCACAGCCAAAGGTTTGATATGGAGGCTAAAGAATTTCCGTGTCAAGTTTACAATAAAAAAAGTCAATTGTTCTGTAAGGTAAAGCTTTTTAACTACTAAAAAATTTAAATTTACCTTTTCTGTGAATACATATTTATATTTTTTCTTCTGCAAATCAAATGAAGAATATTTTTCTATTACTTATTTTACCATCTTAAAGAATTTTGACAATTTCTTAATTATGGTATAAGAGACTGACTTAAATTATTTATTAGCAATTATTGTGATATTTCAAAAAATTTCATCACAAGAGAAATTTTTTAAAAATATGACCCAATTTTATGAACATTACTGAGGAACCTTACTGCTAAGAGTTATATTTAAATGCACAACTTTAAGGACATTATTTATGAACACTTCTAATGATAATTTCTTGTTATCTTGCTAAATGATGCATTTAACTGCACACATTTAGATTCTATTAGGAAAATCATCCATCTATAAACTAACCTTTTATGCTTCCCTGTGTTATGGTATCCATGATTATCTCGGAATTCCTTTAAATTTGATTGTTAAGTCTCCATTCATAAATAATATCCGTAAAGGTGGCCACTTATAGGTAGTCTTTAGTAAGGTACTCTGAAAGAACTTTTCTTCAAAATATTTGTGAATGAGGTGCTAAAAGTTGTTAATTGTCATTTAAGTAATATTTTTTTAGTCACTCATTGTTTGTTTTATCATTTTTTGTAGCGAAAAGATCAATTTGTTTCTTGTTATTCAGATGTTCCATTATTTAACCTTATATGTGCTTCCCTATCACAAAGACTTTACATTTAGGTCTATGTATATTTTTGTGTTTATTTAGTTCCTATTATTGTAATGTTAATTTTATTATTTATAATAATGCACATAAGGAGGAGAAAACAAAGAAAAGATTTAAAGAAAAAATAGAATCCATAATTAGTTTTATTCATTAAAATAGTAATAACTTACTGACCCAAATCATGATGAGTAATAAATGTATTGTTACTCTTAATGTCTTTTTTTTTTCTTGTGCTTTATTTCATTATTCTTAACTAGGATATTATTTTAAAGTGGATTTCAAACTATGATTATTGGATAATATTGCATAATACCTACAAAAATGTATGATAAAGTTTGATTTAGTGTGTAATTATTAGCCATTCCATTTATTCTTTTATCAGATTGCTATTTCTATTTTACTTGTTTCATTCACTACACGCAGTTCTAATCATGTGTATATAAGTAGAGCTGAGTGCAGTGACTGTGTAGGCACAAAATAAAGCATACTTTTTATCACAATTTGTGTGTATATTTTAACTTGTATACATTTTATTAAATGTTGAAGTGCTTTCATTTAACTAGTTGAGATTTGTTGTTGTCTCATTAAGCGTGAGCAAACCCGATTTTCTCATATTTCTGGTCCCTAGTTTTATGTATACGTATATAATTTATAATGAACCATTTTTTTACTATTTATATTTCGATTTGAATTACATTTAGTTATGCTTAGTATAAAATTTAAGATGTTATTTTTTGTACCATTATCAGAATGGATAAATCTTTTAATAATTAATGAAAAGTATTTATATTTTTATACATTTTGTTTTAAACTACTATTAAAATCTGATCATAAAGTTATGTTTTATTAGTAGATTGTATTGTTTAATTTTATAATTTACTAAGAATTCTTTCTTTTAATTTTTACAATACTTATTTAGAAAAGTGTGAGTGAAATTTTGATTCTGATAAATACTAAATTAAAATATAGTAATTATTTTATTTTAATTTTGCCGACGTTTCGACCCACTTTGCAGGTCGTCTTCAGGGTGTAGGATGTAGCACTGCGGGAGGCAGTTGAAACACTGCCACACAAAACTAAGAAATTAATTTTTGTTTTGCCAAAATATTGTAAATATTAATTTTAAAGTGTTAATTGACTGTTTTTCAAATTACTCTGAAGTCAGTTTGTTATAGATTATTTTTTACTTAAAAGATCATTGAGGAAATTAATTTCTTATATTGAAAATGTACCTGATTACATTTAGGTAGTTTATTAAGCAATTCATTATTATAATTGCTTTATGCTGAAGTTCACTCATAACTATGAATTATATTTTAGATAATAATTTATGTGTTATATAAAAAATATTTTATATATGAATGCTTTTTTGTTAAAAAGATTTATATTGATGAAATAAAGTTGTGGAAGTAATGTGTTCTTTTATAAAACCTTAATTGTTTATTGATTAAATGTAATAATTAGGGTCCGGATATGAAGATCTATATTTTCCAAAAAACAGATTGTGAAATTTAATTTTTAGACCAAAAAAGATCTTAAACCATTTATTAAAAACAGTACATACCATAGTTGAGGAAATGCAGCCTCAGAGGCCGCATGTGGTCTCTGTGACGTAGTTGCGTCCTCCAACATTTTCCACATGCGACCTCCAAACATTTTAGTAATATTTATTAATCTAGTGCTAGAATTAATTAATATTTAACTGTTTAAATAACGACAATTTGAAAATTAATAGAATTAAGTTTAATGTATGTTTGTGGGTGTATGTATTTAGTGATAAGTAAAAATAGGGTACTTGTGTACAGTCTGGTCTCTGAAAAAAAAAAAAAAAATGAATCAAATGAAATGTGTAAACAGCCAATCTTTCTGTGAATCACTGTAGGAAATTAATAACTTCCTTAGACTTAAAACGCAGGTTTTCCATTGGCTTGAATATTAGTTATAAATGCTCTCGAGAATAATATCCATCAATTAAGAGGGTTTTATTTTTTTATTAAATTGATATAATTAAATATCTAGTGTAGTATATAAGCATACATAATAATTCGTGAATATATTCAATTGAATCAAACTTTAAATGAAGATCCCAAAATAAACCTTTTTTGTGTGTGTGCAATTGCAAAAAAGATCCTGTAGGATTTTGTATTTAAATTCTACTAATCAAGATCAGCATAGATTTGTTGAAAATTTTGGTTTCTCTTAAATAGAAAAAAAAAGATAAATCCTTAAAATCTGAGCCCTAGTAATAATTAAATCAATATCTCACGAAAAATGAAAAACCAAACTAAAGCTGTTTATCATCAAAATAGATAAACTTTTGAACATATCAGGTACAGATCAAACAGAAATGTATAATCCAAAATCAAAGTAGATAAAACCGTGAGGCATAGCCATTTGTAGAATTATTGTCCACTAATTAAAACATTTTTGGTGTTGGCTTGCTTCCACTTATATAAATGTTGACCACTTTTTCTGGATTAGTTAATGTTTACTGTTACTGATCTGTTCCTATTGACCATAGCTTGATTTTATTGACCTTAAAGTCAGTAAATATTCTATTTAACACAAGAATTTTTTTCAAATTAGACCATTGGTTCCTGAAATTAATGTATTCAAACCAACAAACTCTACAAAGAAAAGTACAATAAAATTGTATTTTATTGTTTTTATTGTGAATTTTTGTAAAGCATGAAATGATATTTAAAGATTAAATTTTAATTCAAAGAGCTTTTCATTTAATTAAAGTATGTTGCTATTCCTCTTAATGCAGCTATTAGATTGGATCTTCGAACAGGATATAAACTATATTATAGTATAAAATCAAAACTGTATTTGTTTTTGTATCAAAAGATGTACTTGTTTTTGCTTAGGAAGATGGACTTCCTACTTGTAAGATGAAGGTTGTTTTTTAATGACTGCTCAGCAGTCTACATGAGGAAATGGTAAAACTCAATATGAAAAAAAAGCTAATATATATAATGTTATTCTAATTTGATGAAATCCTATTTCTCAAGACTTTTAAACTGTGGAGTTTTCTTGGCTGTTCTCAGAAGAATTAGAAAATATCACTTAACCTACCATTTTTTATGTTCATATCAACACCTAGACCTTTAGCTCCATCAATTAGTTTTATTTTATTACTGCCTCATTTAGTTGTTGGAATTCTTCTGATTAGAAATTGTTGACCGGGAATTTTAAAATTTACATATCTCATAAAATAATAGGTTTTCAACTAAGCTTTTTATTCAATTATTAAAAAGAAAAATATTAAATTTAGAGGCTATTGAAAATTTTTGAACATAGCACACAAAAAGATATGAACAATGTAGGGAAATAAATATATTTACTGAAACAAGAAAATTTTTGGTCATATAATTTAAAGTATATTGCATTGTTTATTTTAAACTATTGATCTATTAAAATCAGAAATAAGATCATAAATGTTAAGTATCCTTGAAAATGACTATTTCTTGGATTAGTGATTTTTTTATCTTTTTCATTATAATCTTGTCAGGATGACTAGGATGGGTGTTATTGTTTTAATTGTTCTTCACTGGATCAATAAGTTTAAATTAAGGATATGTGCTAGGGTGTTTTTAATGTTTACTTATGTTAAAATATTATTTTTTCTAAACAATAATATTTATGCTCTAGACTTTTTCCAATATTAAAGAGAATCCTTTAAACTGATGAATTCCAGAGGTGCCCAGAAAGGGGTTTCAATCAAAATTTTTGAGAGGGGCACATTTGGGGTTATGAATTTTCGAAATAAAAATTTTCAAACCAGAGGACAAGAAATTATAGAACAGACCACTGAAAGTGTAATTGTATATGACCTGTGTTTTAAAAATCTCCTTTAGCTCTGTTATTAAGAAGAGGAGAGTAATAAAATATCTTTGGAGGAGGTTCATGCACTATGGATCTTGGGGAGGATGGGCACTCCTGGATTAATCTATCCTTTAAGTATTAACTCATGGAATAAATTTTTTCCCAGTTGCATTAAAACACTACATCTTAACTTGGGTTTAAACATTTAACAAACCACTATGGGAAACTTAATTATCTAACAATTAACAGTGACTTTATTGCTGAACCAAACTATTTATTATATTTATATACCATAATAGATGCAAAATTTCAGAAACAAAAATACTAGCAGAGTGAATTAATATGATTGCCACACAGTGTGAAATGTCTAAACGCATCTTCAGATTTTTTTAGTTAGGTTTAATTAATAAAACACAGTAGTGTTTTAAAAATATCATAAGAAATAATTTTTGATATAAAATATTTTTTTCCTATCAACCCTCCCTATGACTTCACCACTCCCATTTAATACCAGTATCTTTGAAGTCGCCTTTAAAAAAAATGTTGCCTGTGTAAATAGTTCGTTGGTGGAATCAACTGTGGATTTATTTAAAAAAAGAACTGGTAGTTCGAAATAACATTTTTTAGATTCGTTATTAATGGAAGATAATTTATTAATTGTTAACAAGCTCTGAATAATTTTCTTGTTAAGCTATATGATCGTTAATATTCAGTAGAAGACACAAATGACGCTCTCTGTTTCAGTTCATACTTGCCATTAAAAAATATTTTTCTCCATAGTCGGATCTCTTAATTTCAAAAAGAACTTTACTAACATGAAAGTTTTTAAACTGTTGATTTCATATAGCCTGGTAAGTTGAAATATTTCAAGGTACTTAATTTTGTTATTTATTAGAAACTAGTCAATTAATTGTCCCTTAATTACTTTATCTATTTCAAAACTATTGTTTATTTTGTATTATTCATTTTTTTTTAAACTTCAAAGTTTTGTTGTATGGAGGATTATCTTGAATTATAATAAAGACGTAAGTTTAAAACAACTTAACCTTCTTTAAGATAAACCTTGATTATCACGGTTTGACAACAGTTTTGTGTCATTTATTTCAATGATGGTAATGTGATTTATTAATTGACTTTTTGACTAATGACATTTTATATTTTTTGGTAGTTTTAGAATGTGTATAAATTCTGTCTGTGAAATTATGTTAATTTTATAACTAGTTGTTCTGTATTTATCTTGAATTTATTTTTAAAAAATATGTTTTTCTATAACTGTGTATGACTCTTAATGTTATTAAACATATTTTGAAAAAGAAAAAGTGGTGATAAATTTCAGTAATGGGTTTAACTGTTTCTTGAATTTTTTTTTTTCAATTTCAGTGGATTCTTTTATCTAATACATTGGATAAGAATTATACCATCAATAGTACTATTGTGTGGTAAAGTTATCTATTATAATTTCCTATATAAAATTTTATATCACTGATATTGCCAGTATGCGTGTGACTGTGCCTATTTTGAATTCATATAGTTTACGTGACATTGAAAAATGTTTTTCAAAACTGCTGGTTTAGGATCTTAAAAGTATCTCTTATGGAGTACACCACGCATTGGTGTCGCTCATTCTGGTTAAATAGAAATTGAAAGCAGATATTTCTAATATGTTTTATGTAACAATACTTGTGGATATGTAATATTTTTGTTGTTAAATTCTTTGAATGGATATAGAGATTGTCTGGTTTTCCAACTTTAGAATTCGCAACTTATAATTGTCCATATGAGAAGCAATCGGCCTCTAAATCTTCCCTCCAAAAAGTATTAAATGCTTAAAGCATTATATCTCTGCACCGAATCGTCCGATTTTAGTGATTTTTGTTTTTATTTGCAGGGAATCAAGGAAACATTCAAATAATCATATATTACAGATTTTTACCTACTTTTCACTAAATAACTCATAACTCTTAGTGATTTTCCTCTAATTCAATGTTTCTGTGACTGTTGGAAAGCCGAGTTGTTGCTCTTTAAGACCAAATAAGAAATGTTTATATTTACTGCCCTCATAAGAAATAAATGAAGAAAAACTCAAAACACGTTTTTATTTTTTATTTCCAAGCCTAATTAATTTACGACCTCTGAATGGTTTGTACCTTTTCATGTTGCTACAGAAATTGATTGGGCTTTCAATTATAAAATCAAAGCTAATAAACACAAGATAATTTCTAAGTGTTGTGTCATTTTTATGATAAATTATTTCACTCACATTATTTAAATTAATCAATGTTTCAATTTATGCTAGAAAAACAAGCTAAGATACTTTGAAATTTAAGGAAATCATATGAGCTAACAGGTAAGGTACACATGGGTGCCCATCCCCCCCAAGAACAATGGTGCAGCATGAATCTACTGCTCTCCCCCTTCCTTTTCCAAGATATTTTATTGCTCACCTTTTCTTAAAAACAGAGCAAAGGATAGTAGAATTAGAGAAATTGTAGATCATATACAATTACACTGCAATCTGTTCTATGTTTTCTCCTTATCCCTTATTCTGAAACTTTTCATTCCACAAATGCATAACCCTGTTGAAAGGTGCTCCCTCAAAAAATCAAAAACTCGTCATAATATGCACCTTCAAAAATGTTAATGGCGTAACATGCACCATAGACCCCCTTCTGGGCACTCCTGAAAGTACATACCCAAGTAGTGGGGGAATGAGAATATACCTCCTCCACTACGCCAAAGGGGAGAAGGCAAATCTTGTGTATTCTATTCTCTGTGACTAAACCCAAGTTTTTTTTTTAAATATTTTTTTCTTATATATACATACTTAGAAATGGTAATTAGAAAAAGTGACATATGATTAAATTAATGATAATTTTATAAATATATTAACTGTAATTCTAGAGCATAATTTGGAAAGACAAAAATTAAAAAGAGAGGTTCTTAAAAATAGAAGGGCTGTCCAAAATGTTACAAATTGATAAATAAATAAAGAGGTGTGGAAGGTTTTTTTTTTAAATTCCACTTTATCTTATTGTATAAAAAACCAATCATCGACATTCTTTTCATTAAAACTTATTTTGAAATTGGAATAGTTTTTCTTTATTTGTTTTGTATTTTTAGATGTATGTACAATGTTCTAGATGTTTGCTGTCATCTCAACCTTGTTGTTGTTAGTCAGTTTGATTCTATATTGCAAAAATTCAGTGCAAGAAGTAAAACGTTTGGCATTTATAGTAAGTATCAAGAAAAATCCAAAATATCCTTTATATTTAGATAATTTTACTAATTAATTAAGGAAAAAAATCTGGAAGTTGAATCATATTTTTTAAAAATTATTTTTCATTTTTATCATTATATTAAATAAAACTATGATAATTTTGCTGCAACATTGTAAAACTTTTTTTTTTATAATTTAAAGGTTTTATTCTATCTAATTTAATAACATGTAATAAATTAGGTTTGTTTTAAAAATAAGCACATTTATCGTTATAAGGAAGACAGAAGTTGTTATTGCTTTGTGTTAATAAGCACAACTTTAATACCTAAAGCAGTCAGTATTTACTCCAGTTCCTCCACATGAGCTGCTTATCCACAATTGTACATCGATGAAACCTGATGCCAGAATCATTGTTGACTTACCTCATTTTCAACATTTCAATCGATTATTCCTCAGAAGAATCATTCTCTACAGCCATCCAACAGAACTTGAAATCACACTGCTGTCATTAAGATTTTTCTTTATTTATTTTTTTTTTGTCAGAAAATTTTTATTTCTGATACATATATATGTAAATATATATATATATATATATATATATATATATATATATATATATTGTAATGTATTGTAAAGACCGCCGGTGGAATAATTAGTTGAAAGGTATAAATAAATAAATATCATAAGTACCAACATCTGGCACTACCTGTGCTAGGGTAACGACCCACAAGCCCAACCTTTTGTAAGTGGTAATAAAAACCTTTAAGAACCACCGACAAAGACTGACAACTGAGTGGTTAAACAGGATCCCGAAAGACCTTTTCACACCTTCCACCAGAAATACCTAAGTCTGTACCTGCTGCTTTACCTTGGCCTGGGGGAGAGGGCGTGGTCATCCCTTAGGCTGAGAATATTCAGCCAATCAGGAAAAAGACTACCAAAAGAGAGGGGGATGGAGAAAGGTGGGAAATAGAGAATTGGGACTGAACACTTCTTTTTGGGACTCAGAGGAGGACACTTCCTCTTGGGACTCGGCGGAGGAGAGCTGGGACACAGGCTGAGACTGGATCAGGAGAAGCGGAGAGAGCAAGACAGGGACTGATAGCTGGGACTCAGGCTAGGGCACAGCCGGAGGGAGCAGGATGAAGACTTGAGGACCAGATCGACGGAGCTTCCAGAGAGGTAGCCAGAACAGCTAGAGATACCGACAACACCCCTCACCAGCTAAGTAATAACCTTCATTTAGTTATACAGATGTAAACTTGTGTTGGCAATCATAAATTGTTAGTTAATAGAGTCAATATAACACCTGTAACTTTAATCAAATATCAAGCATTCTCCTCTCGTATGATTCGCAACTAATATTATGTATATAGGTTGGTTTAGTTATTATTTTGTATATAGATGTTTTTGGTTGCTGAATTTGTAAATATAATAGTTAGTAAACCAACGTAGTACTTTTACCATCTACCTTGCATGCCACCAGTTAGATATAGAACAAATAGTAAATTTAAAAACATGATACCTTGAGAAAGGAAATCCAATAAAAATTATATGGTTCAATCTAGGATACTACAGTAGGGGGTCTGATAGATAAGATAATCAAAGTTAAGCAACGTCGAGTACTTGGATTGGTGAGCGCCCGATTTGGGTGAGCGGCCACCATGGAAAGCCAAGCTGCTTGAGTCTCTGCCCCTCCCCCCCACGGTATGTGAATACCGTCAGCCTACTGGAGGCAATTCACACAGACCGGGCGTAGGACTGAGGACCCTACCCCGTGTACTTAATCCGGAATCGGGATTTGGTCTACCAGGATGTTAGTAGTCCCCCTGAGGTTCGGTCTATTGACGGTCTGTTTCGGGGAAAGAAGTATAGGTCCTCCTGTCCTTGAACCCGAGTGAGTCGGGTATTAAACAAATAAAATTTTGTTTATTTTTTTTTTTAATTTTTGAATAAGTTTTTCTTTGTTATGTTATTCATGTTTTTTTTCTTTTGTATTCATTTTTTATTTTGTTGAATATACAAGATTATTTTACTTTAACTCTCATTTTTATATATTTGTTAACACTTTTTCTACTCACAAATATATTGGTCCTTCTCATACAGTTCAGATAACAAATAGTATTGCAAGTGTCAAAAGCTTAGAAGATAAATTGAACCGTCAATGTTGTAGAAGGTGGAATATCTTTATATTTAGTTTATCTTCTTTTTACTTGACAACCATTAATCTCTTTGATCAATGACACAGTTGATATTATAAAGATAATACTTTATTTACAAGCTGGTTAACAATCAGGATTCCAATTAATTGTGCCCTTAAATCATACTCTTTTTTTTTTTTTTAATTGACAAGTATACTTTATTATTTCCTTCTTTTTTACTTTATCAGACTATCGCTCTTTTTTTTTCTCTCTTAGTCATTGTCTGTGTGAAATTTCGGTTTGGTAGAATAAGCAGGGTATGGTAAAAGGATCAAATTTTAAAACATACTCAACTCAGAAAACAACAGGGAATGAATAGGTCAATATACTTTCAAATGGCATTTAATAAATGCCTTTTTCCATAAAAAAAAAGAAAGAAAAAATACAAAATCTTGTTGTTAGTAATAATAATTAACATACCAATTGTTTCGTATGTTTTGCTTTTTAAGAGATTTTTGTTCAACCCGAAACAATTGGTAAGTTAATTATAATTATTACTCAGTTGTTTTAAGTAGTTTTAGATATTATTATTTTAAAAACTGTGTTTGAGCAACAATTCGAAAGTTATAAATTAAAAAAAACCTAGTTGTGTGCTTTAGACCACACAGTATAAGTGAGAACATTAACAAGGCAAGATTGATAATGTGAATTATAAATAATAGATCGTTATAAAGAAGTTGAAATGCTAAATATTTTCCTCGCTTACAGTATGCAGGTCTGATTTTTACTTTCAGAGATATTTTAATTCATATTTTCAATAAAACTCGTTATCATTTGGTTTTCGACACAATTTTTCTCTTTTCACCTCTCTGGCACAGCGTCGCGTTAAGATACAATTTTTAATGATAGCTCATTACAAAGAGAATGGAATGATGAACATTTCCCTCACTAACAATATGCAGATCTGATTTTTAGTTTTTGAGATATTTTGCAAACACATCAATTAAACTGAAAACACAATAACACTTCAATTAGTTAACTCGAGCCAACATTACCCGAGTGTTACACATGGGAGAATCTAATTCACTCTCCACAAAAAAGTGCAAAGTGCGCCCAAAGAAGTATTCACTTCAATAATTACAATAGGTCAATTCAAATCAGAATTAATATTTAGATTTTTGGTAAAAAGCTCGTTTATTTCAATTTTGGAAAAAATCTAGGTATAGATTTAGACTTCACACATCATTTTTGTTATAGTAAAGAAGGATCTATTGATAGTTATTGAAAACGATATTTCATATTTCTCAAATAAATGTAAAACTAAATTAGATAAAAAAAATTTCTAAATAAAAAATACTTATTTTTAACCTAACCCTCTTTCAGAACATCAAAATGTAAATATAGAACAGCAAAATTTCAATGTTTTTGTTAGGCATTAAAAGTTTCGAATTCTATTCCTTTACATAGCTCCAGTTGCAACTTCCTGTTGGATGGCCTCTGCAGTGTGTTTTTGGAGCCTATGACCGGGCAGAATGTTTTTAACAATTCTATAAATCACAATAGAGGAAATGCCATAATAGACTGTATCGTTGTTTAATTGCAAAAATTCAATAAGTAACATTTTATAAAATTAAATTACTAAGAACTTTGATGGATATTTTCTTTATGAATTCAGAACATTCTGCCTTCATTGTAACTATATTTGTTGTATAAAAGAGATAGCATTGTTTGGTTGCACTTATTGTGTTTTTGTATTGATGAATAATGTCGAAATTCTCAAAAATGTATCCAAAAGCATAGACATGGTGGGGGAGGGAACCTTTTTATCATTAGAGGCCGCAGTAAGGTTAGGCACAGCTAATGGAGGCCACAATAATTCTTATTTATATTTTACCATTGCTATATTTATTTATCACTTAATACGCACAACCACATACATAAATTCAACTTAATTCTATTAATTTCCAAATTGTTGTTAATTAAATACTAATTAATTATAGCACTAGATTAATAAATACTGCACACAAACATTTGGAGGCCTCAACGGCACACAGAGGCCACCTACAGCTTCCTGGGCTGCGGTTTTCCACCTATGGTATAGTGTATCTCAAATGTAATTAGTGACTTTTTGCAATCAACTAATAATATACAATTGATACCAATTATGAATAAAGCTTTAACAATTATTGTTTGCTTTGTTTTTAGAATGGTTATGTTGATTCAATGGTATGCACATACTTTTATGGCTATTTGAAAAAAATAATTCCTGATCAAGGAACTGGAACAGGAGGTAATGAACATTTATCTTATAACAACCTATTGAATTTTTTTTTTCTTTCTCTAATGCAGTGTTTTGTTTTTCAAATATTTCAGGTTTATATGACAAAATAATGATCTACAAAGAAAAACAAAACCTTACCGATAAAGATTTTCCGTTTCATAAAATCTTCATTATTATATGTGCATCCGGATTTGTTCCACCTACCCTTGAAAAGATAGATAACAAACGGATCGAAGCTAGAAAGGTATATTATTTGTGTCTAGGTGGCACTTAATATTCTACTGTTATGCGAATTTTGGTATGGATCTCAAGATTTTAGGATTATTATTATATAGCTAATTATATTACAAAACAAAAATTGTATTATCATTTTAGTGGCTCATCATATCAAAGACACATTTGCCATTTTGAGAAAGCTGAGAAAAAGTCAATTTTTGTTTTATATGTTGAACTGTCACTTTATGATTTTAAAGTGTTCCTGATGATTTTATTTATGAATTTTTAAGTTGATTCATGAAAAACAAATATTAGAAATGCTTTAAATTGAAGCTGTATTTCTGGAAATTGGCCTTTTCTCAATTATAGGAAATGGTTAGAGGAGGCCAGGACGTGTAACCGGGTTGTAGTGCCATGAAATGAAATGAGAAATAATAGTCAGAAGGTATAGGTATAATATATCGTTTGAAAGCAGAGAATTAAAAAAAACAATATGTAATATAGAAAATTGTAGAAAGTAACGGAAAGTGATGAAAATATATGAATAATAATTTCTAAAAACTAACATTATTTAACGTAAATTGCGTGTTTTCAAGGAAATTAAATGAAATTTTCTTACTAAATGTAAACTTTTTAGAAAATTAAATTAGTGAATAATTTGATGAATTTTCCCTTTGCGATATTCCAACAGTATCCACTTACAATTAGTGTGATAACTTTAGACCTCTCTGTGACAGACAATGCTGATCTCTTAATACCGTTTTAGTAAACTTTGCAATGTAAAAAAAATAACAGTTTAATAACTAATAGTCATACAATCCATAATCAACCAGTGATATAATAAGTAGGAATTTTGTTATTTTAATGGTATTTATGATTTGTTAGCTGTAATATTTTATCTTTAGCTCGGTTGAAAATGCAATTCAAAAATTTTAAAATAGCCCAACTTGACCATGAAATAATTTCTATTCAAAGTAAAGCGGTAAGTGAAAGTTGTGTGTTGCGCGCACCAGATTTTTTTTTTTTTTGTTAGTATAAAACTTTTACTAAATTATTGAAAAGAGAAAGTTTAATGTCTTCAACTCTTCAATTGGAAATCACATATTAAAATAATCATGAAGAATTGTCTGGTTATAGATTTATAAAGATATAAATTCGTATGTGGATTTTTATTGCTTAATTTATTAAATAAAAACAGTGCATGGAAAAGATTTTGGAGTTTTATTCATACTTCCAATTGTAGTTATTTTTTAAAATATTGGCAAGGATATTTACTTTTTAGCATTTAGATCCGTTGGTTTTAAATAATGCTGGAATAAATGGTCGACGTTATACGACAGCTGTTTACAAGGTCAAGTACCGCAATTTAAAGGATCACATTACTGTTGCCATGGAGGGTACTCCTCCATTACTTACTCTGTCGGACGCTTCTGCAGAAGATCCAGGTAAGTTAGCTTTACTGTAGTTATTGAATTATCTTACATGATCGATGACTTAATCTATGAGTATGATCATCTTCCTGAGTAAATTGACTAAATTCATTGTTAAATGATACTGAATGTTTTAATCATAGTTTATCTTTTACAAGCTTATTTTTGTTTATTGAGTTTAACAAATGCGGTCCTAAGATGACCTAGAACCTGTATAATAAATAGGTTTTGCCTGGTCCATCCATGAGCTCAGACAGAGAAATATATTCTTAGATTTTTTATTTGCCACATGTTTGGATCACCAAAATGTTTTAAAATATGATACCAGTATTGGTTAAAGATGATTTTTTTTTTTTTTTTTGCTATTTACTAAGTGAATTTTAATAGTATTGTTTATTTAATTTATTTTTCTTTCTTTTTTTAGAACTAAAAAATAACAAGAAACAAATCATTGAAATGTTTTATAAAAGATTATCAAAGAAATTGGCTGAAAATGCAGAATTTGCAAATTCTTATGAGGTTGTATTTTACAATGGTATGCAAATATAAATATATTTGAATATATTGGATGATTTGTTTTAACCTGGATCATTGTTTGAAATAAATTATGGTAACGTAAGATGGGGTAACCTTGGGACAGCGAGTAAAATTTAGTTTGTGGTGTTCCGTGGTGGAATCACTGTGTTGGTTCAGTCTGCAAAAACATCCTTTGTGGAGGCGTGTACTGCGCTATTACCTTGCGACAACTTGAAAACTCTAATTCACTACACTCGTGCATTTAGGTTTTATTGCTTTTTCAAAATTCTTGTTTTCATGAAACTTTGGCTTGTGCCCCGAGAACTGCGAGCGAACATCAGATTACCGAAGTATTTATATCTGCCATGAAGAAATTGGATTCTAATTGGAAATGGCCTTCAATGCCAGATGAAATTCACTACTCAAAGAACAATTTGTCCTGTGAGAAATTTTCAAAGTGAAACAGCTGCAAGTTTGCGGCAATCTCTTGGCATCGGTTAACAAAAACTAAATTGTACGATGTGTTTGAATAATCTCTGTTACATTTTCTGTTTGTTCAGTAACTTTGATTATGTATAACTTTGATAATTTTCTGTTTGTTCAGTAACTTGAGCCTATACAAGATTGTGAAGATACATTGATACAAAATCATGTTTCCTGCCATTTCTAATAGAGATGATGCACTGTCCCAATTTGACCCCAGTCAATGGAGTAAGATTGGGACAAATTTAAAAATTTTTTTAGTCAAATATTCTTTTGTTTCTAGAGTTATTTTTCTGCCATATCTTGTAAGAGAAAGACTGACCTTACATATTAATAATTTTTTTTCAGCATTTTAACTTTGAAAATAAAGATAGAAGTAGCTTAAAACTTTTAAAAAAATATTCCGAAGTTATCCCATCTTAAGATACATATAAATATTAGATTTCTGACAACCTCTTTAAAATTAATCTCTCTAAAGTTATTATTATTGTTCATTTTTTTTTTTATTGTTTTGTTAAGATGACCCTAATAAGCCACCTACATTAGCAGATGAAATTATCCTTAGACATATCCAAAAGGGTTTGTTGCCACAAGGAGCCATGGATTATTATTTTGATCAAATCTCGTAAGTTGCATTGAGGTAAATATTTTTCTGAATCATTTTGATGCAGTTTTAATTATGAAATCTTAACATTTAAACTCACCGTTATTTGTCTTGGCTGCATATAATAACTGTAATAATTTAAAAAAAAAAGAGTTTATTTAAGAGTAGTTTTATTCTTAATATACAGTGTACTTTTTATAAGTTTCTTTAGAAATAAGTATTTTTATATTAATTTAAAACAATTAATACATGTGTTTTCCCTCAGTCTACAGTACAGACCCCATTTTATAAAATTATTCACATCTTTCTAAAACTTCATGAATGGATTTAACTTATTTTAGCAAATATATACTCAGAAACTGGTATTCTCATTAACTTGATAAAATAAAGAATATTATCAACTGGGCAACTTTATTCTATTTCAGATTTAAAATTTCAGGTATTCATTTACATATTGAGGGGTGTGGCTCCATTAAACTTTCTGATTAGAAATAGATTTAATAATCGTCCAAGCATGTTGCAACTGACTTGATTTGTACCTAGAAGATAAATGAAGCATTGATCATAAGATTTTTATGGACAACATAAACAAAGATATAAAACTATCATATTTATAAGGAAGGTCCAGGTGTTTTCTAGAGTTTTGAAACACTAAAATTTTCCAGCAGTTTTTTCTGTCAATTTACGTATGTCTATATTTTTTATTCTGTAGATAAAATGAGATATATTTTTCTAATACTCATTTGATACATACTATCTTTGGAGCATTTTGATGTTTAATGAACATAATTAATCTTTATATTTCTTAATTATAGCTTAAGAGACTGATTTAATTACTCATTGAAAAATTTTATAATGTTTAAAAACTTCACTTCAACAAAAAAAAAATTAAGTCTTAAGTTGATTTATTAATAGTGTTCATTTTTATGAAAGTGCCATTTTTTGTCAGTCTATAATTTTGTATTCTTTCTTATTTTTTTGTTTCAATTAATCTTTATAAGGTATGACCTTTCATTTTCCCTAATTATTATTATTATTAGCCAAAATTGATGGAACATTAGACGTTCCATCATTCAGCTTATGTATGTTTCCTTGTTATGTAGGTTTTAAGTTTTAGATCTTTATAAATGTAAATATTTGTCACTTTTTTTGTTCTTATTCCTTTTAATGGATATTGTATTATATTTGTTTATACACTCAAAGAGGGGAAAACAAAAATGGATTAATATTGAAAATTTTTAATCTATTTTTTTATTTTATAAAATCATAAAAATTGACTAGCTAACTGAGTATTCAACTATTTAATAATTGTGAATGTTTTTTTCTCTCCTTTGAGTGCTTTTATTTGTTTATTAATTTTAACTAGGATATGTTTTCATGCAGATTTTATAATATTACAGATAATTATTTTGTTTGTTTTGTTTTTATCGTGTTTCTACATTTTCCATTTGTTTGTAATATTTTTTATTAGTTTTTTTATTTGAAGTTAAACACCTTATGTTTATTAGTAAAATCATTATAAATGTTATATATTTTAATATTTTGATACTGTATACCTATTCTTTCAACATTTTATTATTTTAGTTGTGTAATTTTAATTTCAATTATAAATCTAATTTTTATATATATATATATATATATATATATATATAATAAGTTGCTCAATTATATGTATATACATATAATTTTATTAATATAATTAATTTATTTATATTGTTTCGTTCCGTAAATATAATATTCATGGATGAAGGTCCAAAATAATTATTTTGAAAAATTAAAATTGAATATTATATTGAATTTCCCACAGTTATAGACTGTTCAGTTCAGGTCCCAAATGTCTAGTTATAAAACTCTGGATTATTGATTGAGTCTACTGTAACACTAGAAAGGTGTATAACTGCAAAAATAAGAAATTAATTTTTGTTTCACCAAAAATATTGTAAAAATTACCTTTGTTTGTTTTATAAATTATTCTAAAAATTGTTTGTAACAGATTATTTAATAGACGAGGAAATTAATTTCTTGTATTGAAAATGTACCTGATTAAGTTTAAGTGTTATATAAAGCAATTCATTGTTGTAATTGCTTTGTTGCTCAAGTTTAATCATACCATTAAATTATATTTTAGATAATGATTTATTTGACTATATACATACAAATATATTTGTATTTAAGTGCCTTAAGATGAGGTATTGTTTTTTATTTATTCAGTTTTGAATTTTTGAAGGAAGTTAGTCGACAGTTCTACATATCATAGGTGATAAATAGTCAGGACGCAATCATTTTTAAGGTTTTTATTGGTGCCGACGTTTCAACCTAAGCAAGTCCAAGGTCATCATCAGGGCGTGTTTCGAGCACTGAAGGTATTCAAGTACTCTATGCTAAGAAGTATTTGAATACCTTCAGTGCTCAAAACACGCCCTGATGGTGACCCACATGCTTGGGTTGAAATGTCGGCTCCAATAAAAACCTTAAAAATGACTGCGCCCTGACTATTGTATCACCTACAATTCTGAATTTATTATAAAATATAACAGAAACTATACATAGCTCATTGTTTAATTCTATTGTGCCTATTGTTCATTTGATTATCATTCTTCATTAAAAGCTAATAAAGTTGATATTAAGAACTCTGTAAATTAATAATTAATTTTTGAGACCAATGCACAATTTTTATCTATAATACATCCCGAAATAAAGCTCTTTGAATCATAAGGCTTTTACCAAATGTGAAACGTTCAATTGATTATTGCTCGGTAGCAACTTACTAATTAATCCTACGACAAAGTTTAACATAGTAAATTTTGTAGTAGATATAAGTAGCTGAAGTTCAAGAGAGAACTGATTCCATCAGGTCTTATAGACACTAAGATATGTTGTTTTTAAAAAATTAAAAAAAAAGATTATTATTTTTGATATGGTATGATTGAATGATCTAATTCAACTAACATTCTTGACTGTCCTCTGGCAAAAACCACGCTGCCTGAGATTTCTTCCACTCTCCTTCACTCTTCCCTCCCCGTGTATGTGATGCAGTCAGCCTACTGAAGCAACTCACATCGACAGAGAGCAGCACTGATAATCCTTTGCACCTTACACAGGAATCAGGATGTGGTTTTCTTGATCATCAGTATCTCTCCAGAGGTTCATCCATGGATGGTCTGTTTTATAGAAACAAATATAGATCCTAGTGCGCCTAATGACTCTGAGCAGCTATAAACCCTGAATCTTGACCGATTTTTCCACAGAGTGTGTCTCTGGGAAGGACACTGCCGGTTCAGCAATAGAGCTATGAGTGGCCTATCGCTGCACCATGGAGACCATTGTTCGTAGCAACTTGAGGTTGGGTGACCTCATACAGGCTATCAGTGATACTGCAAGCAATTTATTTCTGTAAGAACAACACATCACGGGAGCAAATATCTATTTGGTCTGTAGTGCCAACCGAAAATACAAAACAACAAGACGTAAAATTTTGAACGTTTCATCGAAAAAACACAACTTCAATATAAAAATGTTTCTAAGCAACCTGAATTTAATAAACAAAGTTTTTCATAGTCATTGGTATGTGAAAAAGCTAATTAAGGAAAATAAAATATATTTTATTTTCAAATATACTTTGTGGAAACAAGTTTTTAAAATGTCTCAATAGTTGAGTCTAATGGGTAACTGCTCTTTCGATATTCATATTTCCAGTTTACATTCAACTAAAAGAAATGTTATCATCGATTCTCTCAAAATATCTGTATTGGATATCTGAAAAAGAATTGTGGTATCATTACAAGAATAGTATTTCACAGTCATCTAGCAGAATAAGAGCATGAAGTTACTGAGCATTTCCAGAGCAGGAATAAGTACAAAACAGGAGCTATCAAAATTGATGTAACCATATAGCCCAATGCCAAAAGATCTCTCCCTTACAAATGAAGCCAATAAACACCAATTGATAAAAATGTTGACCTAAAAACTGAAGCAAAATAATTTTGTTACGAAATCATCTTCTGAGGACGCTGACACAACCATCTGGATGAAAGCCGATGTACGTGCAACATTTTTTTTTTCACCCTACCTGGTATTGCTACTATACGGGGTATTGTACATGCAACTGACAATGTAATATAATATACAATATAGTACAGTCATATATTATACAAATGTTGATCTTCATGTGCACTTCTCCATTCATCTTACTTTACTCCCTGCTCAATGATTAGGTATTTTTGAAACTGGATAAGGCAGTCGTGGAATTCTCTAACTCTTGTATGCCTGCGATTTAACATCTGCTTTCTTCAAGAAAAGTTAATTCAAACTCTACAGCCTTCTGGAAAAAAAACATCCACCTGCAGGATGTAGCGAATATGTTAAGAACGCCATGCTAGTTCAATGAACTCAGAATGTAATGGCTACAGGACAGAAATTTATTTCAATCCTATACGGTGTCCAAGATGACGAAAATGTATGTATTGTATAGTACTCTGCACAAGATGCAACTTGAAATTTTGGCAAAGAAAAAGTTTAATCTTTCATCTCCTGTCCACTACAGATACATCCAAACACTAGCCATTTAAGCCTTTTTCCCAAATTTACATATGAAATGGTGAATGATGAATTCCACTAATTGGAGCTGGACGAAATCCAGATATGGGTTACCTTGAGATCAGGTGGTTAAGTTCTTTGTACTTTCAAGAGGAAAACAAGTTCTTTTACTTTTAATTTTACTCTATCCATGAACCATAAACTAAACTGAAGTCACCCCTGCCATTGTCACTATATCATTCCACTGTCACAATTTTTTTAAGGATTTGATAAATTAAAACTTACTAGATTATCAAGTCTTTTGGCAAGAACTAATCTTTTTTTTTTTCAAGGATTTTGTAATTCTTAAGGGACTTGGTTCAAGAAAAGTTAAGATTCTATTTCAATTAGTAACTGATATAGTTTACATAAATAAATAACTTATCATTGTCAATCAATCAGAAATAGTCTGTGATACAGACCCCTTTTTATCAAATTATTAACATCCACCTGAAACTTCTTAATAGCTTCATCTCATGGTAACCTACAAATATTTTATTTACGAAAATTCTTGGAATTTGGGTGTTTTCAATCTGTAAATCAGCAAAGTTTGTCATTTTAATTAGGTACTAAAAACTCATGTTTTCCATTTGAATCGTAAGATAATATGATCTCAAAATCGAAAAAAAAAAAAGGTTGCCTACACAAATGTTGGGCCGTTTGGACTACATAACCTTGTTATTTTAACATTTTGGAGTCGAGGCCACGCTAAAGAAACCAATATGTTTTAGGCCCTTTTTTTTCGACTGTGATCATATTATCTTACGATTCAGGTGGAAAGTAAATATTATTTATGAGTTTTAGAACCTAATTAAATAGACAAACTTTGCCTTACTTTCGTAAATAAAATATTCGTAGATTGCGATGAGATAATGTTTTGCGTATTATAATTTGATAAAAAGGGATCTGTACCACGGACTAAAATAATCTTCATCAGCTCCCGCTTAGTCTTCCTATAACTTGTAGGGCCCAAGCACACATCACTTTAGATTAGGTTGATAAATCGCAGACTGGCTTCAGTAAGAGGTTCAGAAATTATCCATGCTTCCTAAAAGACCGAGACGTAATTTAGTCTAGCATGGACCAAATACCTCACGTGGAAGCTCACGACCATCCTCCTAGGAATCGTACAAAAAAAAAAAAAAAAAAAACGAATAGAGGCGGGTGAAATAGCTTTTAGAAAGTTCGACATGTGCTAAGCTAATATTTGCTGCCGACATTGCCAAGAAATCTTCTATTCATAATCCAAAGTCTTCGTTAAGACATCATCAAGCAGTAGCTGTATATTCAGATTTAGATTTATCTGAGAGGAAATATAAATTGTTGAAGTCTTTGGTAAATGGTGTGCACAAGAGTTGCTTTCCCTGTTACCAACGCAGATTACTGGAAATGGAATTTCTGTTTCCGTAAATTTAAATTTAATTAGTAAATCTAGTGATAAATTTGACATGATGGACATTGTTAACATAAATATAGATTCAGAAAGTAGTAGTGAAGAATATTATGAATCAGATTATATGATGTTAATTTTCGAAATATCAATATTGTATTTTTATTTATTGTGTTGTTAGTTATATTGTATATTATGTTTCATTTTGTAAAATGTTCTTTTTATTGTTTTTTATTATTATATTTCAAAAGTTGGCGTTTTTATAACTAACTCGTTTCCCTGATAAATTTCATATTTTATCTATTCAAAATTAAATTTATCTGCAACTGTGCCATTAGATAAAATTTCATTTGATCGAATCCGTTGTTTGGTTCAAAACTTAGAAATTAAGTTTAAAATGACCGTTTTGGGAGGAAAACGAATTATTCGACAAATTTGGAGAAAAACGAATTATTCGACAATTTTAGTTATGAATAAGGGATATATTTGCAACCAGCGTAAAATTTCCTATAAGACTCAATAGAAATCAGACTTTTGTCCATTTCGATCATTCACTCGAAGCACTGTGCGACGCTCAGGTAAATATTACTCAAGAAGCTTGTAATGAAGAAAAATAATGAGATATTCAATAAAACAATCAAAACTTGTCCATTTTATTTTTATACATAATTACACTAGCGAATCCAGGTTTTAATTTGGGAGGTTGGAGCTTCAGCCCGAAAGCTTCTTTTTTTTCATATATAAAACGATAATTAATTTGAAAAAAAAAGAAAGAAACTAGTCTATATCACGGGCGGATCTACGGGGGGAGGCTTTCGGGCTGAAGCCTCCCCCCAAAATGGAAAAATATAACCATGTTTTATGGGAAAAAAAATTTTAAAAATACCTCTTAAAGTATTATTGTTCGTGTAATTACATTTAAAAGTACTTAAGGAGTAAATTAAACACCATTTCATATAGGTAGCTAGTTTCTTTTTGTTTTTCCAAAGTAATTATCGTTATTTTTATGAAAAAAAAAGGTTTCGGGCTGAAGCCCTCCCCCAAAATTAAATCCTGGATCCGCTAGTGGTCTATATGACTTAGTGTTTAAGTAATTCTTGAAGTCCTATTAAATGTAATTACACGAACAATAATACCTATATGACATAGTGTTTAAGTAATTCTTGAAGTCCTTTTAAATGTAATTACACGAACAATAATACCTATATGATATAGTGTTTAAGTAATTATTGAAGTTCTCCAGAAATGACGTGGGCGAAGCCCCTATAAAAATTGACAAGTTAATGTTTCACTGAACTTATTAATTAGAACATTAAGGATGAACATATTAAGAGGACTCATCAAGTTTTGAAAATGATCCTTAGTATGGTCGGAACGTTAAATTGATACGTAATAATAAAATGTTGGTGAAAAATGGCCTAATTTATTGTAACAAATAAATAAAATAACTTCAAGACACCAAAAGTAGGAAAAATGAACAGAAGAAATATTGAAGTCCTATTAAATTTAATTACACAAACAATACTTTAAGAGATAGTTTTTAATTTTATTTTCTATAGAACAAGGTTATATTTTACAATTTTTGGAAGCCCTCCCCCGGTAGATCAGCATGTGCATAATTAGTATTATTAACTTCAGTACTTTTATTTACTTTTTGATTCTTTTCACTTAATTTATAATTTTATTTTAAGCCCAATTAGTTCTATTAATGATTTTACTGGTTTTTCAAAAATTAAAGATTTGAATAATCGTGAAAGAATAATTCGAGGATATGCCCTAAAAAAATGTGTTTCAGCGTTGATTTAAAGTGGCACTTCCGGTTAGCCGATTTTAAGGAAAATATTGCCGTCACAGCTAAAGTATATAGCTTTCTTAAATACGTAATATCAGTTTCGTAGGACTTTTCGTTTTCGAGCTAGTGTTCACATACACACAAAAACCCAGACCATTTTTCGGGAGTTGGTTATTTGGAGTCAGGGTACCCAAAAACGTGTATTTCCGTTGAAAACTCAGATTCAAAAATTTTCTCGATCGCAATACTTACCCTTACTATATATTACATATATTCATATGTAATACCTATATAGTACATATATTACATATATAGTAAGTGAAAGTAAAAATTGATGATTTTGTTCTTTGGAGGCTTTATCAGAATTGGTAGGAAAGACGAAAGTTTGATACAACTTAACCTTCTCTATGGTAAACCTTGCAAATCGAAAATATGATGGATTTGACAACTTATAATGGAAATGAATTCTTTATTCTATTGACGGTAATGTGGTATATTAATTCAGTAGTTATTGATATTCATTACCATGTTTGCTGGTATAGTCGCTAACCAAGAGAATTATTTATCTACTTTTTATAATAAACCTACGCTATTTTTTAAAACAAATTCTTCATTGATCAGTATTATTATAATTTAGCTGCAACGTTGTTTTTCAATACTGCCTTAAACAATTCTTAGTTTAGTTTTACTTATATGTCAGTAATTATTTTGCAATAAGTAAAATTCATAATTAATATTTTGTTTTTTATTTGGAAGGATAAGAATTTTTATTTTGTTCTGCCACTGAAATTCTACTCAATATATCAGTAACATTGGATAATTTGGGTTTCTCTATTTATTTTTAATTTTTGACAAATTTTCAATTTTTTTCTATGTTAATTTCTTTGTTTCATATTTGTATTAAATATATTTTTAAAAATATTAATGAAGTTACAAACATTTATTTAAACAAAGAAGTATTGTCTCGACATTGACATGCTCTTAAATTTTTGCCCACACATGTCTTATTAGTAGTGAGAAAAGTTAAAAAAATTGACAACTATAAAATTAAAATTAACATGAAATGAGACATTTAGCGCTGCAATACCGTAATAATGAAAAGAGTCTCAACTTTAATTTTTTTTCATATGTAGTCCGATCAGTGCACTACTTGCTGAAGAAATTTCAATCTTGAAAACCCTGTCCTTTTTTAGTTAATAATTTTCATAAACAGACAAAAGTAGTATTAGGCGAGATTTGAATTTGAATATCATAAAAGGGACTGAACGGAAAGTGATAAAACTTGTACATTTTATAACAATTGCATTATTGAAACAATAAATCAGAATTCTGCAATATGAAATTGAGGTACTAGTATACATGTGTTCACTACAGTGACATACTCAATAGTGAACTGTCTCCTTAACAACTGTAAGTTATTTTTTAAAAATCATTGATATGTATATTGATGTTTATTTCTGAACCTGAAATTGTTTCTATTCAATGTTTAATTGTTATTAAATTCATTACGACATAATAATAAATATTTACTACTAAGTATAAATAAAAATAAATTCAAATAAAATGTATCAATGTATAATTATATAAATTTTATTCGTTATTAAGGAATTAGATAAATGAAAACACTGGATAGAATCAAGTTTGAGTTCAGAAGTAAACATCCATATCAATGATTTTAAAACAATTCCTCCCCCCCTCCCTCACAATCACAAATACAGTTGTTAAGGTGACAGTTCACTGTTGAGGCCCTTACATCCATCAATTAATGTGATTGCAGTTGTCACTGTAGTGAAAACATATATACCTACCATAGAACTTGTGTAAATATAAACTAAAATCCAATTCTGTTTCTCAATTTCATATTGAAGGATTCTGATTTATCGTTTAAATAATGCAATTTCCACACATATTTGATAAGATATAATTCTCTAGACGATTGAGTCTCAGTCACTAAATTTATTCAATATGTTCTTATTAAAGTGTTATAAAATGTTCAAGTTTCATCATTTTCCACTCAGTCCTTTTTATGATATTCAAATTCAAATCTTGCCAAAAACGACTTTTGGCCGTTTTTGAGATTGAAATTTCTTCAGCACGTAATGCACTGATAGGACTACATATGAAAAATAATTAAAGTTGAGACTCTTTTCATTATTACAGTATTACAGCGCTAAATGTCTCGTTTTATGTTAATTTTAATTTTATAGTTGTCAATTTTTTTAACAACTTTCCTCACTACTTATGAGATATATTGTGAGGCCAAAAATTTTAGAGCAAAGCATCATAATAATTTTAGTTTTTCTTTTGTTTTAATATCTATAAAAATGCCGCAGTTAGAGTAGGTAGCATACGCTGATACCGACTTTCACTAGGTAGCCATATTTGTTGCACTATAACTAATAGAACCAGTTGAGTCTCAATGAGCAAATTTGTATATCATTAAGAGGTATAAACTATATCAATTTCATAATTTTTGTGATATATAACATCAAAAATCACCGAAAACGACGGTTGAGTGTTTTAAAAATTCATATTTAAAAAAGACAAGGTTTTCAAGATTGAAATTTCATCAGCAAGAAGTACGGTGGTAGGACTACATATGAAAAAAAATAACTTAAAATTGAGACATTTCTTTATTATGCTAAAAGTTTCTTTTTGTTTTTTGTTGTCTATTTTCATGATTTGTTCAAACCACTTTCTTTTTTTTTTTAGGTGATGTATTGAAGAACAGAAATGTAGAAAAAATACTCTAAATTATTTCAGTTTTTATTTTGATTTTATATCTACAAAATAACCTGAGTTACATGCATTTTTCCAAAACTTGTTTTCTGTCGAAAAAAAAAAAAAAAATTAAAATGGCATTAAAAAAAAACTGTGAAACTTAAAATTGTTTTGACTATGATTTTGAACTCTCAAATAAATACAAAATAACTGGTAAAACAATTATAAAAATTAAAAATGTCTAGCTACAAAATTAATTCAAATTGGGTTATTTTAAATGGATTAACCCATAAGGCTTTTTGCTTTTAGGTAAAGTCTAAAGCAATTCAGTTTGACACTTGTTAAAAAAGACCTAATTATTTTTTTTTTCAATAGCTTATCGACCTTTCTTCCGTTTTTTTTTTGTATTTATATTTATCATGATTATTTAAGGTAAAAAATATTGAAATGTTTCAAAGATGCAGGCAGAATAAATTCATATTCATATTTATCATGAATTATTTATTCAAATTTTTGATTTTTTTTTCTTATTAGTTAATATTTATAAGATTCTATTTTCTAGCAGGTTGAGATTTACATTAGATTTTATAATATTCAAAATGATATTACTTTTAATATTTATTATCCCTCTTCAAAATTTGAATACAGTGGAGTATTAATTATCTGAAATAATGTTGTCAAGAGTGGTTTGGATAATCAAAAATTCGGATAATCAAAATTAGCTTAAAAATATATATATATATTATAAAATATATACACACATATATATATATATATACATACATACATACATACATACATGCATGCATGTAGAAGGAAAATATTACACAATTAACAACAGTGTACAAAAAGCATGATTGTTTATTTGTATAAATATGTTACGTATACATATTTTTATATTGAAAAAATAAAATGCAACATGATTCAACTATTTATCAAAATTAATGCTGTGGCATAAAGAACGTTTAAATACTTGTCTTCTTCAATGTTGACTTCCTGAAGGTGAAATATATATCTATTAGAACGGTAAGATATTCAGAGAAACAAATGAAATTAGGTATACAGTTCTCAGTAAACAGACAGGCATAGAAGTCTTAAGTTTATTTCATTTTTTGCAGTTTTTGAGAAATAATTATGGCTCTCCAGATAGACATTCATGGAAAAAAAACATTTTATTTTATTTGAAACAACAATAATGTTAACAATACTAATAAGAAATTAGATGACCAATTTAATTGAAATTACTTTTAAAAAACTGGTTCCGTTAATTGAACGTTTGGATAATCGACGCTCCACTGTAGTTTCTTGTTTATTTATTTATATTTTCATGTAATATATATAATGTTTTAGGTGTTTGCTGTCATATCTTTCTTGTTGTTTTTAATATGTTTGATTCTATATTGGATAAGCCATAAAAATGCATTGTTGGAAGTGAAACGTTTGTCACTTATCGTAAGTAATCAAAATATTTCTTAATTATATTAGATTTAGTTTAGAAACATCTAGGGAACTACTACTTGTTTACAAAACGTTCTAATGTTGAGTAGTTTAGAAAAAATAATGTTATCTGTTAGTTTTAAAAATTAAATCATGGTTGTGAGAATATCTGGATTTATTTTTGATGTTTTAAACAATGAAATGAGTGTGAAAGTGGTCATTTTGTATTGTGATGAGAATCTGAACTGATTCTATAACATTGTAGAGGGGTTGATTAGGATGTGCTGTCGCAAGTAACAATAAAATAAATAAATTATACTTATTTTTATTTTTGCTGACATTTCACCCCAATGTTCAAGCCATCATCAGGAGTGATCTCACGAAAGGTTCCTGCAAGATTTTGATTCACAAAATCCTAACTGATCTAAAAAATGTTTTTGCAGTGAAGTTGTGTTGGCCTTCTTCATACATTCAAATTATAATTTAATTCAGAAACAAACACAAAATGCTTGCTATAATATTGACATATGTACACATTTTTAAAAGTCATCATTAAATTAGAATACTAATTGCTATCTAAAGAAGGTTGCAAAGGTACCACGAGGGTTTAAAATATAATATGTTAGTGTTTAATATATTATTTTATATTATTATTCAATTGATGATGTACTATACTACATCATGACACTATATACTATATATATATTAAAGAGACGCAAAATTACTCATTGTATGTACAGTTTCTATATTTTTATGAGAACTTATTTATTTATAAAAGCTAATAAATTTTGTTTTCCTTTTTATAATTTTCCAAGCTACAAACTCTAAGATATTCAATGGTATGAGCTAGGCACTGGTAGCCTGTGAAATTATGTTTCAACTCTTGTGAAACCATTTTTGTTTAATGATAATCATCTTTGCAAAGATCCATTGGAAAAATTTGGAACTTTTTAAATTCTTATTGTTATAACTTTACATTTATTGATACATAAAAATTGAAAATTCATGCTAGTACTCCATTTATTAGCTGATTAACAATTTCTCTTATAATTACTTCTGCACTTAAAACATGCTCTATTTTTATAAAGAAATGCCTATAAAAAAATATTTCAATATTAATTTTCTAGTCCCATCCTTCGGGTTTGTTGCCATTTTCTCATAATTTAACATATGTCTATTATAGGCCATAGGTCACCAAAAAAAAACAGTTTTTTTATATATTACATGTATGTTTATTCAACGTTTCGGCTTCAGGAGCCATTTTCAAGAACCTGCAAACTAAATTTTAATTACAATACTTTCTTGATACCGTCTGCAAATAGAGGTATATAAATGGAAAATTAAAAATTTTAAATTAATTATAGCAGTCTATTTTTAATTTATAATTATATATTATAATTTTTAGAAACGGAAAACGACATTCTTTGAAATAAAAGAATGAATTAGGACGAATTATATCGTTATGACAAATTTTTTAAAATTTTTATGGCGCGGTGCATGGTAAGTGAATGATACAAGTTTATTGTCTGAGGCTATACTTGAATGGTAAAAAGTAAATTAAAATTTAGTTTGCAGGTTCTTGAAAATGGCTCCTGAAGCCGAAACGTTGAATAAATATACATGTAATATATAAAAAAACTGTGTTTTTTTGGTGACCTATGGCCTATAATAGACATATGTTAAATTATTTCAATATTGTATTTTTTTTTTTTTTTTTTTTAGGAAGGTTATGCGAATTCAATGGTACAAACATATTTTTATGATAATTTAAAAAAAATAATTCCCGATCAAAGGCCAGGAACAGGTATGAACCATTACCTTATAACAACCTTCTAAATTTTCTTCTCTTCAATGAATATTCTTTTCTTTTTCAAATATTTCAGGTCTGTATGACAAAATAATGATGTATAAAGATACAGAAAAACTTGAAGAAGAAGATTTTCCACTTCATAAAATCTTCATAATTATATGTGCATCAGGATTTATTCCTGATGCCCTTGAAAATATTGATAAAACACGTATTAAAGCACGGAAGGTATATTATTTGCTTTCATTAGTTACATCCAACTTTTTTAGTGACTTCTAATAACAATAATATAATAGAATTGTATTAATTTAATTCTTCTTTTTTCTGGGAAGTTGTTTATTTATTTTAGTTATTTGGCAATAATAACTTCCAATTGGTAACAATTGAGTTTATTTCTATTATCAACATTACATGTTAACAAGTTAGTTGAGATTTCGGGATATTTATTCCCATCTTCGGAACTGCAATCCCAATACTCTTGTGGATGCAAGGCTAAAAATTTTTTGAGTTATAATATTGTGCTTGTTACATTACATGTTTGAATTTTGTCGATACAATAAACTTATAATTATCTTAAATTTAATAATAATGTGCTCCATCGTCAAATTTCTAATTCATGTTCTAAAATGTTAACTACCAATTGGAAGTTATTATTGCCAAATAACTAAATTAAAATAAAAAAGTATTAATTTAAATTTATTTAATTTAATATTAATAATGGATGGTTATTGATGATTAACAGTTTTCTGAATGTTGCCTTAAAATTCTATTGTATGATTGCAGGAATAGTATTTTATATAGGTTCTAAACCTTTTAATCTCCAGAACCCTAGAGATATGTTTAGCCATCGCTGTGGGTCTGTTAATAATATTAACATATGTACACATTTTTAAAAGTCATCATTAAATTAGAATACTAATTGCTATCTAAAGAAGGTTACAAAGGTCTCACGAGGGTTTAAAATATAATATGTTAGTGTTTAATATATTATTATTCCATTGATGATGTACTATACTACATCACAATTACACAGTTACAGCACAAGAAATATTTGTTGATATGTAACAACAGAATTTGCAACACTATCAAAATTCAAAACCTAAAAATAAATTATTCAAAGGAATTTCATGACAGCCTGGGTGATGAGAAAGTTGTGAAATTAAATAACATGCAAGTATGTTAAGCACATAGTTTGGTTTATAAAAATGTTACAGAAGAACATTAAGAAAAAATCCAGAATAATTATTATTTTTTTTAAACATATTTGTATTATTTTTAAAAATAAAAATTTAATTTAATCTTTACTTCATTAAATATTTTTCAAGATCTAATTCTCATTATAAAAATAGTAAAACAGGATTTCACACCTAAATTTCTTCACTATCATTGATAGCCCCAATGATTCACAAACAAAATCTTAATTCAATAGATCTCGCTACACAAGTATAGTAAGTATATTGTAATAAATTGAGTACAGATGTAGTAATTCTTAGAGATGGGCAAAATTGTACTCTGAGTAAAAAGTACAATTACAGAGTAATTTACTCAAATACTCGCCCGGTTCGAGTATCGAGTACTTCAATCACTACTCGACCTCATGATTGAGGAGTACAAAAAGTAATCAGCTGTCCTCGTGAGTACTTTCTATTTTCAAATCTACTCGGGAATATTTTACTCTGAGTACTTTTCAAAGTAATCGAGTATTTCATTATAAAAATTACAGGAGTAGAATGTTTAATATTTCTTCCATATTTAAGTCCACTGTTATCTTATGGGGGTATATTTTTTTAAATAGTATCTATATTAATGTAAATCGATAAAATAAAGAATTATTAAAATATTTTGGATTTAATCAACTTTGGGGACATTTTTTTTATTTCTACATCACTTGATTTTTATGATAATGCTGTCGGATTTGAGATAGTGCCCCCGGGGCCCGACTTTTTGTAACTTTTCGCATTATATCGACATCAGGGTCAACTATTAGGTTTGGGGGGTGCTTTTTATGAAAATAATGTCGGATTGGAGATTGGGGCCCCCAGGCCCCGACTTTTTTTAACTTTTTGGATTAAATCGATATCAGGGTCGAATATTATGTTTTGGGGGGCGCTTTTTAAGAAAATGATATCGAATTTGAGATTGGGCCCCCCGGGCCTCGACTTTTTTTAACTTTTTGGATTAAATCGATATCAGGGTCGAATATTATGTTTTGGGGGGCGCTTTTTAAGAAAATGATATCGAATTTGAGATTGGGCCCCTCGGGCCCCGACTTTTTTTAACTTTTTGGATTAAATCGATATCAGGGTCGAATATTATGTTTTGGGGGCCGCTTTTTATGAAAATGATATCGAATTTGAGAATGGGCCCCCCAGGCCCCGACTTTTTTTAACTTTTTGGATTAAATCGATATCAGGGTCGAATATTATGTTTTGGGGGGCGCTTTTTATGAAAATGATATCGAATTTGAGATTGGGGCCCCCAGGCCCCGACTTTTTTTAACTTTTTGGATTAAATCGATATCAGGGTCGAATATTATGTTTTGGGAGGCGCTTTTTAAGAAAATGATATCGAATTTGAGATTGGGCCCCCCGGGCTCCGACTTTTTTTAACTTTTTGGATTAAATCGATATCAGGGTCGAATATTATGTTTTGGGGGGCGCTTTTTAAGAAAATGATATCGAATTTGAGATTGGACCCCCCGGGCCCCGACTTTTTTTAACTTTTTGGATTAAATCGATATCTGGGTCGACTAATATGTTTTGGGTGGCGCTTTTTATGAAAATGATATCGGATTACGAATCATTTTCATAAATTTTGAGATAGCGCACACGGGGCCCGACTTTTTGTAACCTTTCGTGTTTAATCGATATCAATGTTGATTATGAGGTTTTGGGGGACACTTTTTATGAATATGATGTCAGATTTTTTTTATAAAATGCGTCCCCTAAATCATAATAGACGGCCCTGATATGGACTAATTCCAAAAACTGAATCCACTGAGTGCAATCTCAAATCTGACAGTATTTCATAAAAACCGTCTTCCAAAACTTAATTTTTGACCCTGATTACGATCAAATCTGTAATGTTACATAAAGTCGGGGCCCGGGGGGCCCAATCTCAAATTCGATATCATTTTCTTAAAAAGCGCCCCCAAAAACATAATATTCGACCCTGATATCGATTTAATCCAAAAAGATAAAAAAAGTCGGGGCCTGGGGGGCCCAATCTCAAATTCGATATCATTTTCATAAAAAGCGCCCCCAAAACATAATATTCGACCCTGATATCAATTTAATCCAAAAAGTTAAAAAAAGTCGGGGCCCGGGGGGCCCAATCTCAAATTCGATATCATTTTCTTAAAAAGCGCCCCCCAAAACATAATATTCGACCCTGATATCGATTTAATCCAAAAAGTTAAAAAAAGTCGAGACCCGGGGGCCCAATCCTGAATTCGATATCATTTTCGTAAAAAGCGCCCCCCAAAACATAATATTCGACCCTGATATCGATTTAATCCAAAAAGTTAAAAAAAGTCGGGGCCTGGGGGGCCCAATCTCAAATTCGATATCATTTTCATAAAAAGCGCCCCCCAAAACATAATATTCGACCCTGATATCGATTTAATCCAAAAAGTTAAAAAAAGTCGGGGCCCGGGGGGCCCAATCTCAAATTCGGTATTATTTTCATAAAAAGCGCCCCCCAAAACATAATATTCGACCCTGATATCGATTTAATCCAAAAAGTTAAAAAAAGTCGGGGCCCGGGGGGCCCAATCTCAAATTCGATATCATTTTCTTAAAAAGCGCCCCCCAAAACATAATATTCGACCCTGATATCGATTTAATCCAAAAAGTTAAAAAAAGTCTAGGCCCGGGGGGCCCAATCCTGAATTCGATATCATTTTCGTAAAAAGCGCCCCCCAAAACATAATATTCGACCCTGATATCGATTTAATCCAAAAAGTTAAAAAAAGTCGGGGCCCGGGGGGCCCAATCTCAAATTCGATATCATTTTCTTAAAAAGCGCCCCCCAAAACATAATATTCGACCCTGATATCGATTTAATCCAAAAAGTTAAAAAAAGTCTAGGCCCGGGGGCCCAATCCTGAATTCGATATCATTTTCGTAAAAAGCGCCCCCCAAAACATAATATTCGACCCTGATATCGATTTAATCCAAAAAGTTAAAAAAAGTCGGGGCCCGGGGGGCCCAATCTCAAATTCGGTATTATTTTCATAAAAAGCGACCCCCAAAACATAATAGTCGACCCTGATAGCGATTTAATCCAAAAAGTTAAAAAAAGTCGAGGCCCGGGGGGCCCAATCCTGAATTCGATATCATTTTCGTAAAAAGCGCCCCCCAAAACTTAATAGTCGACCCTGATATCGATTTAATCCAAAAAGTTAAAAAAAGTCGGGCCCGGGGGGCCCAATCTCAAATTCGATATCATTTTCTTAAAAAGCGCCCTCCAAAACATATTAGTCGACCCTGATATTGATTTAATCCAAAAAGTTAAAAAAAGTCGGTGCCCGGGGGGGCCCATTTTCAAATCCGATAGTATTTCTTTATAAAAAGGGCCCCCCAAAACATGATGGTTAGTCTAATAGCGATTAATGGGGGGTTGGGGTTGGTCAGGTCGAAAATGGCCGCTATTATTGAAGGAAATAAAAGAAAACATTTATACTCTATATAATAATGACGGAGTAGTTGAAAAATAAAAAGTACTCCTTGTAGAAATTCGGCTGAGTACTTTCTGTAATTCGATATAACAGCGCGAGTATTTTCTGTACTTAACTAAATCATGATTGACGCTGCGTGAGTACTCTCAGTACTCGCCGCTGGCAGGCCGAGTACAGAAACTACTCGATACTTTTTCCTAATAAAATTACTCAAATCATGAAAGTAATCGAGTACTGCCCATCTCTAGTAATTCTCCCCTCCCCAAAGTTAGAAGCTGTTTCCACCATTCAAAAACTGTTAGAAATTAGATATTAGCTTTCATAAAAAAGTATGCCAATGTCAAACTATAAATTTAATTTTCTTGGAAGTGTTAATACTACTTATCATTTTTATGCACTTGACCTTCAATTACATTGTAACAATAAGTAGATCAAAGATGATAAATATTTTAGTTTTGTTAATGATTTGAAATTGCAGCTATTGTTTTTAATATTGTATTTATTTTCTAGCCATTGCTTTTAGATCATGATGGGTCGATTATCACATTGACTAATGGGTTGATTACCACATCGACTGATGGATCCATTACCACATCGATTGATTGGTCGAAATTGGCCCAATTGATAATAGATGGTCGACTAAATGCGATATCCATTTATAAGGTATATCACCGCAATTCAAAGAATCACACTACAATTGCCACGGGTCCTCCTTTACTTACTCTTCTTGAAGCGTCTAAAGAGGATCCTGGTAAGTTTGCTTTGCTATAATTATTTTACCACTGTGAAAGTTAAAGTGATCTCCGGAGTACTATTATTCTGTAATTTGAAAATTAACTAGTTGTAGTCATAGCCCGGATTCGAATTATTATATCTGCAATGCTCTCCTTGCACAATAGGAGATAGATTTATTGGTCCTTACCTCAATTGTTCTGTGTTTAACATTAGTCAGAAGAGAAAATTTGTGGCCTCGACTTCACTATTAAACTTTGCAATTTATGGTGTAACAAATTTGTTGACAAAATGCAAAGTAGGGATTACAGTTATCTCAACTTTTTAATTTTTTATTATTATATTCAATTTTGGAGGGAGATAACTCTGTGAAAAAGGTATTGACTACCTGGGATCAGTAAGAGATCCTCCTGGAGCACACTGAGCCTCTATGAAGAGGGATCTCTTAATTAAATAATTAATTAGGGAAAAAAGCATGGCAGTTGAACATGATCTTAGTCCAATCACCTCCCTGCGTAACTGCTTTAAACTGACATTTACATTAAAACTGTATAGCGGAGCCTTTTATATGAAATGAAAAATAATTTTATTCTGGGACTGAAGTCCCCTTAGAATAATCGTAAAGTTAAAAATATAGGTACATTTATACCGTATTTTACCTCTCATATAGAAATATTTATTTCTTCTGTCATATTCTTTATCTTCTAATGGTAATGTTAAAATGTATCTTTCCCGATAACCGTATTTCCTTTCCATTTCTCACCACTGTGCACCCTTTCCTTTTTTCCTCAACTAACTTCCTAAATTCATGTCATGTTAACTTCCAATCTGTTAGCACACTATGACGAATTCTTAGATAATTTACTTCAAAATTTTCACCATATCATTACCGTCTCTGAACCATGTCACGAACCTGATATCCTTACTTCCTCTTTCTATTACCAGTTATTCCCTCTTTTATCATGACTATTATAATATTATCTTAATAGTCTGAAAACTGCCGAATATTATTAGTAGCTTATGTATTTCAACTAGGGACAGAAGGAAAAGTTATTCTGGAAGTAACCAACTTAGCTAGAGTTAGATTGATATTTATTCCATCAGTCCGCCACACAAGATTAAGTTCTATCAAATTTATGTTTGCCCTCTATTTTTATATAACAGAGAACGTCAATTTGAAATAGTATTAGTTTTATTAAAATTCCCACCACTACACTGAGTTAAGGTGGCTCTTTCCCTCCTTAAGAAGATAATATTTCCTGGGCATGTTCCTTTATCAAATCATCAACAATCATCGTCCTTCTTATGCCTACAACCTTCTCCAATTCAAGTCCTCAGTCCATTCCCTTACCACAAGATCAAGACCTTCTGACCTGACCTGTCCATCCCTTCTCGATGATCTGCCTCTTTCCAAAACTCCTTTGTTGCCCGCTTTGTCAATTTCTGGAATTCTCTCCCTTTCAAAATTCGACATGCCCCCTCCGTATCCACATTCAAAAACCTATTCCAATTCCTATTCCATAAACAGTCAGATATTTGCTAACTATTTACATTATACATGTATTTCATATCAATTATCATCATAAGATCATGCTGTTCTTTGCTAGGGATATTACATAAATTTCCTGATTTTGATTCCACCCAATATATCTATTTTTTTTTTTTTTTAAATGATTGTTAATATTTTTTCTTATATACAATTAAACTCCTACTCATATTTTCCATAACAGATGATTATGCTCTTCTTATGATGTATTTACATATTATCCTGCATTTACATAATTAGGTTTATATAGACTGATGCAGCTTTCATTTTTCTTATTAGAAACTTAGATCTTATTTATGAGAAGAATTTAATTTATTTTGTCATTTATTTTCTTGAAGTGTTTCAATTGTTTTTTTTTCATAGTTTTAGGTGTTTTTTTCATAGTTTTAGGTGTTTTTTTTTCATAGTTTTAGGTGTTTTTTTCATAGTTTTAAGTGTTTTGTACATAGTTTTATTTGCTTTGCATATAGATTGTTCAGTTAAGGTTTTCTTTACTTTTATTTATTGTTTCAATTTTTTTATGTCAGAAGTCTTTTCTTTTTGTACAATTTTGTTATTCTGAAGGGACTTTGTCTCATGACAAAGTTAAGTTGTTTTATATCTATCTAATCTAAAACATTAAACCTAAGTCAAAAACGTTTTAATTTAAAAATCTATAATTATATTTTTGTAAGTTCTAGAGCATTTTTTATGTCCATTTCAAAATTTATGTTACTTTTGTACCTCATAAATGTTAAACTGATCGTAAAAAAAAATGTATACAAGTAATGCCAAATAAAAGGTATGGAACCTGTAATAATTTAGAAATACATGATCCTCCTGTTGGTTACTATGGAAGGAAAAAAAATAAGTCATTTTTGTATTTTATCATTGGTTAATTAGTTTATTTTTATTTTTTAGAACTAAAAGATAACAAGAAACAAATCATGGAAATATTCTATAAAAAATTACAAAAGAAATTAGCTGAAAATGCAGAATTCACAAATTCTTATGAACTTGTATTTTACAATGGTATGTATGTACTCCTGAGAATACATAATGCTGCTACATATAAATACTAATAATTATTAAAACTAATCACTTTCTGCCTTTTAATAATGAATTGATCTAAAGTTACATAAATGTTAAGTTTTTCTATTGTTTTGTTAAGACGACCATGATAAGCCTTCTACTTTAGCAGAAGAAATTATTCTAAGGCACGTTGACCAAGGTTTGGTGAGGCAAGAAGCTATGAGTTATCATTTGAGTACTGATTGTGTGATTGAAACGTTTTTAGATTGAGGTAAACATTCTATTAAATAATATTGAATTTAAGACAGCGTCAATTGACTTCAAACTGATAGCAATATTTATTTTCAGACCCATCTCATCTTCATTTGTTTTAGAATTGAGTATTTCAAATCAATACCTTTATGAACGATTATATGAGAACAGATTATTTGTATTATTTTTTATATTGAAGTCTTTAATTTTATTTCAATTTTTATTATGTAGAAAGTTTTTAATAATCTAGGAATGCAGCAGCAAATAAATCTGCATACAAAATAATAGAAATGCTACCAAGCCTATAATAATATTTTAAATATAATAAAATATAATAAATAATGATATTTTGTTAACGTAACAAGTATGGGTTTCTGAGTCTACAGAAGCATAAGGTCTTGGATATTGAAATTTCACACTAATATAGTTTTGTACAAGAGAATAAATGTCTAAATTTTAAATGATATCGTATTTTAGAGAATCAAGATATAACACTTAAAAATACCACTTTACCCAGTCAGATTATTATTATTGTTCATCATTGAGGGGGCTAATGCCTAAACTGCTGTCGGATTTACATCCTATTTAATTAAATTACATCATTATTTGTAATAATATATTTTTTCTCATTTTATTTTGTATACTTTTATGTGGGAATCCTCTGGTCTTTGTTTCTCTAAATCTCTAAGTCTAAATCCCAGTGCCCTCTTCACGCTCCACTTATTCACTTGCCAACATCCAGATACCTTATTCACCTACAGCTAATAATCTGGCCAAGAAGGATCCTACGTAGCATCTTCTATTATGGATTTTCTACAGCCTTACTGGCTGTAAACGCAGGATGTAGCAGCGCTGTTTTTAGAGGAATAAAAGTGCTACATCGAGCGGTAAGAAGAGGAAAACAGATAAGGATATTATTCTATTGTAATGATACCAGACCCTTTCTGTACATTATAATTGTATCTCATATTTCTTGCTAATGCACTAAAATTTACTCCCCGTTCAGGAATAATAGTTGAAATCTATAAATAGAATTAACAATATTAACGGTTTAAATTATTTATAAATATTGTTCTCAAATATTCAAGAACTTTATTATATTTATACGAGAAAAGGGCTATTATTCTTCAACTGCTGAATTAAATGGCTTAAGAATTTTCATTCATAGGTATTTTGAACTGTAATAGTCCCGTGTATATATTTCAAACTTACTGTTCAGTAAGTAAACATTCTTTAACTGAAAGGAAAGCCTTGATATACTTTACTTTTCCAATAGATTTTTAATTTTTAAAAATCTAATCAATAACCGATGCCAACCTAGAGGGCTGTCCTTGGAATTTAGGATGATCCTATTCATTATCTTAAAACTTATTAGTTTTAGGTATTAAAACATTGGGCCTAGTACATTCTTTAGGAAAATCCTGACTGGGTCTTGTCCACCTCAAAATATTTAAAACCCAACCTGTCCCATTACAATGAACTGACTTACTACAGTCAGAGCATTGATATCATTTTTAAATAAATTTTATTATAATTGTATTATGAATTTACGGATTGAAATTGGATTTGTCATTTTTCAATGAAATTCTGTTTCTTATATCATCATTATTTGTTAAAATCTATCACTCCTGAAACCTGGAAAAGGCTTCTATACCACTGAATTATATTATATCATAATAATTAATTTACTCACTTACCCATATTGAATGCATCTGTATATAGAGTAATGATATGAGAATTATATAGGTTGATTATTAAAAACGTTCTACTGAATAAAAAATTGAAAAGTTTTATAAATAACTTGTTTATTATTTTAGCAGTTTCCAGCTTTAGGCATTTTATATCGACCGATTCAGCTTTATTTTTTCTTAGTAGAAAATGAGAGCTTATTTATTAGAAGAATATAATTTTTTTTTCTTTGGTTTTTTCTTTAGAAATATATATATATTTTTTATTTATATTTTTTTTTATATAGATTACATCATGCCATACTTATAAATTACATGTTTAGAAGTATATATTCATACTGTTTTACCATTGTATATAGATTTAACTGTTTTATTCATAGTTTTCTTTATAGCTAGTTCACTTTATGTTTTATTTTATTTTTAATTTTATTTATTAGAGTAAAAACTCCTTTAGGCGCGTTTTGCACTTTTTTGATTTTTCAACTACCTATGCTTGTAATATTAATATCAAGAAAGGATCATATAGCCTAATAATTTTATGATGTGTGGGATTATTTGTTTTTACAGTAGAACATTAATAAATCATTAGGTATTTAGAAAATTTTAATTAAAAGTAACAAGAATAAAAATTAGTTGATCACAAATTAGAGTGCTTCACTAACTTCTTATATAATTTAATTACATAGAAAATTTGTCTGATTAAGTGTTTCTTGATGATGTCATTATGATTAATATTATTGAAGGGAAAACTTTATTCTATTTTAGAATTAATTTCAGGTATTCATTTATGTATTAAATGGCGTAGCTCCATTAAATGTTTGCTGATCAGTAATGAATGGAATTATCATCCAAGCATGTTCAACTTACTAAGATTCGATTTGTACTGTGAAGATGAAGCATAGATCATATGGCCAAAGATTTTTTATGGATAATATATAACAAAGAATTTTATTATCAAATTCACAAGAAAGGTTTAAATGTTATCTAGGGTTTTCAACCACTAGAATATTGCCTTTTCTGTGAGTCAATGAATCTCTATATTTTTTATTCTGTAGATAAAATGAGATTTATTTTTCGATTTCACATCTGTTCTATCTTCTTATGTTTAGTGCATATAATTAGATGCAAATTAATCTTTACATTTCTTAATTATGCTATAAGAGACTGACTTTATTAATTATTAAAAACTTTTGTGATTTTGAAAAAAATTTAATTAAATTTTTTATTTTCATAAAAGTGCTACTTTCTGTCAGTCTATGACTTTAGTAATTTTATTTTGCTTAGTAACTAAAATTAATGGAATATCAGATATTCCATAATGCAGTTTTTTTGATATGCAGGAATTACATTTTAGATCTTTTACATATGTAAGTATTTGTCACTTATTTGTGTCTAATATTCATAAAAGAAAGAAAGCAAATTGAAAATTTAAATCAAATTATTTTTATTTATTAAATTTATAATAATTGACTAGCAGACTGAGTATTCAGCTATTTACTGATGTGAATGTTGTTTTTTTCTCCTTTGGGTGCTTTTATTTGTTTATTAATTTTAATTAGAATATGTTATCATGCATATTCTCTCGGGCTTTTTTTCCCAACAAAACATTCAGACAAAAATTTATTAAAAAGCACTTGTTTTTTTTCCATTTATTTGTTATCATTTTATTAGATTTTCATTTTTATTTCTCTTTGCTTCATTCATTAAATGAGTAGCTTCATATCTAAGACAGACAGCTGCAATTTTCAAAAAGTGGAGAAAAGATCAATTTTGGTTTTATTAGGTTCATTCTAAACTGTTTCTGATGATTTTATTTAAGAATGTTCAACTTGAATCATGAAAAGAAAAAATCATTAGCATTGGTTTAATTGTATTATTTAACTAGAGTAGGTTTAATCTAATTAGTTTTATCAGAGGTTCAACGTTATTCTATTTTAGATTTAATTTCAGATATTCATTAATTTCATGAATTGTGTGTTTTTTTTTTTAATGTTAGCTGATTATTTAACATAAAATAATGTACAAGCATGTTTCAATTGTCTAAAACTTGACCCACCTTAAAGCATTGTGATTATTGTGCCAAATTTTTATTGTGAAGAATATCATACCAAAGAATTTTATAAGAAAGATTCAGATTTTTTAGGGTTTTTAAACACTGTAAAATTACATCAGACTTTTTTATAAATTAAAAAATATCTATATTTTATATTCTGCAGTTAGAATTAGGTATATTTTTCTATTTCTCACTTATACAATCTTATGAGAATATTAAAATAATAATAATAATTTTTAAATATTAGATTTAATTACAATTGAGTTAATATTGAATATTTTATGTTTAGTTTTGCTGTTCTAATGGTTAAATCTCAATCCATATTTTAATGTTTTGATATACTATTCTTTAAAAATTATCATTTTAGATTTGTAATTTAAATTTCAATTGTAAATAGAAAATATAGAATATAGAAAAAAAAATAGTTTAACAAAAATGTATTTTATTATCCTTATCTTTTGTTGCTTGGTCTGCTCATATCATAAGTCATTAAAATTTTTATTTGATTTATGTTGTATTTTCCTTAATAGTGGTTGCGAATTCAGCAAACATGTCTAGTAATAGTATGATAAACTAGAAGAGAGTTTATTATAAATATTAACATGGTGCATTAATTACAGCAATAGGCAATTCATTTTTGCTTCACCAAAACTATTGCAAAATTTACTTTCAAAACGTTGTTTCATAGATTAATATAAACAAAAAAAAAATGATGAAAACAATTTCTTAAATTAAAAATGTACCTGATTAAGTTTAAGTTTTGTATAAAGCAATTTGTTGTAATTGCTTTAGTGCTCAAGTTTAATCATACCAATAAATAATGTTTTATATAATGATTAATTTGTTTATATACATACAAAAATATTTTGTATTTAAGTGCCTTTAGACATGGTAGATTTGTTTATTTTTTTTTGGTTCTGAATTTATTATAAAATGTTAATTATAAAATTAAATAAAGTACAATGTTATGGCTTTATTGTACTAACACAAGGAACATGTCTGTTCTTAATTTTGTAATTATTTTTCATAAAATTCAATATTTTAAGAGTTCTACTATTGCTGAGAATTTATTCTTGTATTACTCTGTATCTGTATCAGAAAGTAATCATATATTAAATGTTTGCTTTATACTACCTATTAGTATTTATTTATTGACATCATTTTTCATTATCAAATTTATTAATGGTTATTATACCTCAAAATGTGATGCCCTCCCCTGTAAATTGTTTTTAAAGTCTTTAAAAAGTTTTAAGTCTTTAAAAAGTTTTAAAGTCTTGAAGCTATAAACATGTTTTAAATTTCAATCCGCTCTCTTAGGGTTTCCAATTTTCTTTGAATGACATTTGAAAATATATTTTTTCCCTGGCTTGAAATATTAGATATTACTTGTACATATTTGGAGTCACTAACGAGATTGAAATTCCAAATTTGAAATTTAATATTACTGCTCAGTTGTTATTGAGTCTTTTTGTTCGACATATATCATGTTAAAAAAAAAAAAAAATTCATAAACAATATGGTACTGAAATTTTCATACTAGAGAAGATTCCCTTGAAAATTCTGGCACTGAGTATAACATACTGACACAGTTAATTGTTTTTAGATTGGGAGAGTATTCTAGCCAATTCTTTGGAAAATTTGGATTCAGAACTCACAAAAAATTTGAGTAAAACATATTTTTAGATTAAAGCTAATTTGGGACTGAAGAAGTACTAGAACTAGATATGATAAAAAAAAAAATTAAGAAGTAATCTTAAATATTAATTTAAAATAGAATAACAAGCAGTATTTATGGTTTATGATTAGATTATTTCTCATCTTTTTAAAATTATTTTGAAGGTGTATTGAAAAAATAGTTGCATTATTAGATACAACATGAAATAAAACAAAGTATGTTGTGATTATTGTAATAAATAAAAATTGATTATCTGCAATCACTGTTAAATCTATCCTGATGTACTCAATTTTGGAAAACTAAAAATAAATTTTTTGAATTATTTTTTTTTTTTTTTAGGAGAGGGTGAATATACTATTTGTATCAATGTACATACCTTACTCATAGAATCAAATCATTTTGGGAAATTTTAGAGGAGAAAATATTTTAATTTGAATTCATTCTGATTCTCAAAACTATTTACTGCAGTTCATCATATTGCTGAACAACAGATGTAATGTTAGTTTGTTTTGTTAGTGTAAAAAATATGATTAAAAAAAAATACTAGTAGTAAGTATTGTAAAATGAATTTGCAACGTCACATTTAATGATATATTGGGTTGGTAAATAAATCCTTTCGGTTTTTCAGGGTGAAATAAAACTCAATGTATTATAGACCTAAAATTTATTTTAATCTACAATATATTGACCATTATTTAAAATGACTTTTTCCCATCTTTCCACTAACTGCGTAATGCCATTTTCATAGAATGTCTGAAGCTTATTGTTAAAAAACTGATCCAAATGGTTTTTGATGTCCTCTTCCTTTTGGAATTTCTTGCTATTCATGGAGTTCTGCAGTGACCGGAATAAGTGTTAATCACTTGGAGCTAGGTCTGGTGAATAGAGAGGGTGGGTCAAAAGGTCCCATCCAAAGCTCAATAATTTATTGCGAGTGACCAATGAGGTGTGGGGCCTAGGGTTGTCTTGGTGGAACGCAACATCCTTCCGATCATTCATAACTCTTCAGGATGTTCTCCAATTTCGATGTTACTATATCCTTTGGAAAGCTAAATTATTGCTCTTCGAAGCTGTATGAATGGGTTTTTTTTATTTAATGCCTACATAAGGAATAAATAAACAAAAACTTCTTATAGGTTTTTATTTTTTATCTCCATTTGTAGTTTGTTTACGAAGGTCATGTTGATGCCATTTTGTGTAGTATATGTGCCTCTAAATTACTGCTAAATTTCTTGTAGATAGCTAAAGTCGTATTGAAGTTATAACATTTTTTGTGATTTTCGAAAACAAATCATGTGAGGGACCCAAACATTAAGCCTGGAAACATAGTCGAGCTTGTGCAAATGGTTTTCTACACTTGTATGCGACACATTTAGGGCCATAGCAATCTCGCACTGATTGGGTGGGATTTTTATCAGCAATGGCCTTAAAATTGCTCCTTTCAATTTCATGTGGGCGACCAGACCATTGAGCATCATTGATGTCAAAATTTCCTGAATGAAATTTATCAAACTAATTTTGACAGGTGCGTTCAGTTAAGGCATCATCCTCATAAACACTGCTAAGTTTTCTATGAGCTTCTGCAGCACGCCTGCCTTTTTTAAAAATAATACAACAAAATATGCCGATAATGAATGATATTTTCTTTCATATTCAGAGTGCAATAGCAAACACAATACTCAGCTAGTTTCAAAAAGAGTTAACAGACATAGTTGTTGACATATTACAAACAGAATAAACAATCTACCCTAGGGATTAATTCATCAGATAAGAATTGCACCATAGTGACATAAAAATAAACAGAAAAACCGTAAGGACTCATTTGCCAACCCAATATTAATAATTGTGGTTTGATGGTTGACTGTAGTGAATAATTGAAGAGAAGATTGGTTGAGTGTTCAGTCAAAAAAATGTAAAAATAAAAAAATTGTATTTATTTTTATTGTTGCCGACGTTATGGCTCAAAGTTCAGGCCTTCATCAGAGCTTGTCAGATGAGATATTCCTACAAGACCTAGACTATAGGCCAAAACATCAGTAAAAATAAAAATAAACACAAAGTATTTATTTTACATTTTTTTTACTGAACGCCCCAACCAATCTTCTCTTTAATTAAAGATATATTAATTTTTAGTACTATAATTGAAACTAATGGTGCCAACAGTTTCATTATAAAATATTGTTTACCAAATTAAAGTTGTGATGTGTTAATTTCATCTCGAACCATTTAAATAATCTAGGATCTAAATAAATATTATTGTAGGTACTCAATATATTCATTATATATATATATTTTAATGAAGGATAAGATGTTAGTAAAAACTATTTATTGAAGGACAATGTTTTGACCTACAATGCAGATGGATCAAGCATGAAGAATCGCTTTCAACAAATAGTATTTCTATCTGAGATACTTTTCTTGTATATCACCTAGGCTCTCTTGTCTTTATTCTTTATACTGTCTACTATAAATAAAAGGCCGAATCAATGAGTGCGCTAAGTAATGTTTTCCATGTTCTGAAAAATTCAAATAGCTTTCAACAAATAGTATTTCTATCTGAGATACTTTTCTTGTATATCACCTAGGCTCTCTTGTCTTTATTCTTTATACTGTCTACTATAAATAAAAGGCCGAATCAATGAGTGCGCTAAGTAATGTTTTCCATGTTCTGAAAAATTCAAAACAAAATTCAAATCGTATTTATCTACAACAAAGATCTGTATTCCCACCTGGCACCTTTATGAACTCAGTTCTGTGTGAACTATTGGCTATATGTTAATATAAGGGGAAAATATTAAAAATATACCACTAAAACCCTTTATCCGCTACAATAATTTGGTGTTTCCAAAATTGCAACTCATCACTTTTAAGTTGACCTTCAAATACTCAATATTTTTTAAAAATGTTTTCTCTCTGATTAGATTTCGCTAGCCTGTACTAGTTCAGAGGTAGATTTAAAGTTACTTTTGGTGGGAGAGGGGTGCATCGTGAGATACATTACTTATAACATACTAAATTATTTATTTCAGTCTGGAAAGTACCACCCATGAAGACACTTTGGTACTGGTCCCGTAGTTTCAAAATCTGTCCTTCCCAGTTCAGTAAATGTTTTGGCATCCAGAACTATTACAGCTGTCTTGCATGCATCATTTCCCCATAGCAATGTCGAGATCACCACACCATCATCTTCATCCTGATAAAAATCATTGTATAAATGTTCTTAGTTTTAAAATATAGCTCTATGTGTGATATACGAGATGATTCAGTTTGGGTTAATGAGTTATCAGGAGACATTTCTGCTCTTAATCTCTACTTGAACTATAGTAGTTTGTCTCTTTAACAGTTATAGCGATCTAAACTTTTTTTGAAGTGAAAACTTCTGTAGGCGTGTTTTGCACTTTTTTGTGGAGAGTGAATTAGATTGAAACATCAGATTTCCGTCAATTTCAGTTGACTAATTGAAGTGTCTTTGCATATGGATTAAAATATCTCAAAAATCGGACCTGCATATCGTTAGTGGGGGAAATGTTCATCATTTCATCCACTTTGTAATGAGCTATTATTTAAAATGTGTCTTAACGCGACATTCTGTTAGAGAGGCAAAATAGGAAAAAATAGTGTCGAAAACTAAATGATAACAAGTTTTATTAAACATGTGGATTAAAGTATCTCAGACACTAAAAATCGGACCTGCATACTGTAAGCAAGTGTTATGTTCAGCATTTCAGCCTATTTATAATTAGCTATTATTTATAATTTATATTTCATATTATTAATCTCACCTTGATGTTTTCACTTCTATCGTGTGATCTAAAGCACACGCCTTAGTTTTTTTTTTTTATCCTGAACTTTTCGCTGTCAACTGTTTTGAAAATGCTGTCATAGCTTAATTAGGCAGAATATATTCATTTAAAAATAGTTTTTATTTACCTCTCCATTTGGTGAAGGAACAAATACTGGTTCACTTGGAAATGTGTCAATTTCAGTCCATGTCAGTATTGTTTTATTTGTAACATCAACTTTAATCAACTGCAATCAAAACAATCAAATGTGTACAAGTAAAAAGACATTTTTAGTTTAAAATTTATATTTATGTATTTCAACTTACCGTTCCTGGATTTTTTAAATCGACATCAGAAGATATTGCATAAAAATAACGATACTTTTTCCCTAGGAATAGGGGATAATTAATACGTGGAGTTTCACATCCCATATTAGAAAGTAATTCTGGAACAACAAATATTTTTCCATCCTTTGTCAAATAGGCTTTGGCACTTGTATTAGGTAATGTGACTAAGTTAACTAAATTTTCTGTGGCATTCATCGGTAGTACGTATCTAAACGGTCGTCCTCGGAACATTTTTGCATAGTCCGGGTTTTGTTTTGCTGTCTGAAACATATTAATAGCCATTATTTTAATATGTAGTTCTTGTAGAACCTGATTCTAGCTAATGATGTTCAGTAGGTAACATAACCCCCTTCGAGATTGTTGCTTTGAGATATTATAATCCCAGATACTTATAATTAGTTGGTATATCTATTTCACTTTGATAAATTTAGTTTATCCTGTTACACATGTATTTTATAATTTTATTCACCAATCTGATCTCTATTGCAAACTTCATTTAAATATGTTTCTTAGCTATTCCCTAGAGATATCTTATTTTGTGATATAAACTTTGCTAACCCTTATTACTTTATTTATTGTACCTGGGCAGCCTAAGTGCTACTATATGAAGTCTCTAATAGCTTGACAATATCAGACATCAGTGTTGCGTATTACTGCCTAGAGTGTTTCTCTGAGATGTTCTAGATTTATATTTAACTTAAATACGGGGGAAACTTGAATAAAAATTGGAATTTTTAAAAATTGTCTAAATATACATCCCAAATAAATTACAGGCATAATAATCCTGCTATTTATTGCCTGAATTAACAAGTTTATTTGTTGTATTTGCAGCTAATAAATTATTTGTCCTAAAATCTATAAAAATTCCGCAAACTACATGTTTATATTTTAACTTATCTAATATTTACTCTAAGAAAAATATTTGTCTAATAGTTGATCAGTCCAATCTAAATCAGATGATTACAGCTTTCATAATTTTGTGAGTTAAAATTAAAGTACATGTTTTATTACTCAGAAGGAATCAAATTCCTCAATAGTTTTTATAAACTCCTTTGTGTGACATGGAATACATTAAAAGGAAGAAACAAATATATGAAGGAATATATGGAATATGAAGGAATATATTAAGGAAAAAATATATGTTTGTTTCCTTTAATTTGAATTTTCATTTAATTTCAACTCTTCCTTTGAAATTTAACTATTCATAAATACAAAGGGTGTCCTGTGAGTAGAGGAAATGTTTAAAAAGGAGATAGCAGACCTCGCTAGCTGGAAGAAAGTTGATATAAAAAATGTTCTGATTTTCTGCAGAAAAGTAAGAAATGCAGGTTTTGTGTTGTTGTATTTTAAAAATAAGTTATATTTTTTGTTGAATTGGAAGCGATAACTAAATAAATACTTAAGTAATTAACAATTGCTTCAGAGTAAACTAGATTAAATTTACTTCCATATTAATTAAGCTCGGAGGTTATTCCAAAATAATTTTAATTTCTTCTCAAGTTGTGATGTGATTTGATATCTTGTTTCCTAAAAGTACTCATGTTTTCAGCAAAAATCACTACATTAAATTACTGTAAAGCTTTCATTTATTTTTTTCTATGACCTGGAATGTATTATTATTTAAACATAACTGCATAAATACACATATTATTTACAAAAAAAATTTAACATTAATTATTTTTCAAATATTTGTCATCTAAAGGGATAAAGAAGCTGTAGTTTATATCTTTATTATAGGCATTGATCTTTATTTGTAAGTGGCCAATTAAATGAGCCTTTCAGTTGACAGAATGATTGACTCCAATTTCAATATTTTTGAATAAAGTCATTTTAGTGATATTTCTAGTTAGAAAATTTATAATATCTGTTCCGATAGTGAATAAGTTGATTCCATAGTAGATGAAATGTAGTGTTAAAATATAGAATTGTGAATAAAGGTATAATAATTGAAGCAATCTGCAGATTTCTTTATTATATATTAAATTGGGAACATTTAGTTGGTCACTTGATAAATACGGTTCAATTTCTGTAATTAAGATCTTATAGACAAGTTGCATTATCACTTTGAATATTTGAAAAATCATTATTTTTAATATTTGTTTTTTGTAAAAAAATAATTTTCTTTATGAATTTATGTTTAAAAAATTTGTTATTATTATTTTTAATATCGAAAAGGTCAGCTTAAGTAATTTTTTTAGAACTTTATACAAATTACTCATTTATAAATAAATTAAAATTTACTTACTTTTAAGGCTTCTATTAACATGCATTCAATCATGCTTGGATTTTTGTAGACACAAATATCGATGACAACATGATTATTATCTTCATATTGATTGATTATGTGGAGGTAAAAAAATGGCTCAGCTAAGAATGTTTTGACGTTTTTTCCAGATTTTCTATCAACAACATGAATTAATGTCTGAAAAAAACATCCGATATCATCAGTTAATAGAAAGCGTCAGTTTAATTCTAACATTGATTTTGTGGTTTGTTAATATTTTTTTTTATTACATTGGTTAATAGATTAATGCATTATTCACTCAAACTTATTATCAAGCTTTTTGAAGCCAATCCTGATATTAATTTTTTTATATTTAAAAAAATAAACAGTTACTTCCTCTCCCTCTTGTTAGTAACATAAAATTTGATCTGATTTTTTTCATACTACAATAACTTATATTTTTTTTATAAAATAAATACTTACAGGATGCTTATCATTCCATTTCAGTATATTGTAGAGTGGTTTTGTGTTGAAATTCATAGCTATCTTTTCCATCACTGAAATGCCCAATGGCTGTTCCACAATAACGAAAAACGATTTAGTCATCCCAAAAGTATGCATGTAGCTTGGTTGAAAAGGCCATCTACAATTTACAGACCCCACGATCCTCGCTTCTGAAAATATATCTTTCTTCTCGCTACCTAGCATAAAATTTCAAAGACTCATTACATAAACATTTATTTTTAATATTATTGGAATATACATTACAAGTAAATATTCTGAATGTTTAAATAATTTTTATAGATCACAATAAATAACCTTTTAAACAAAATAGGTATGTACTTAAACAAGTCCAAAATCACACCTAATTTTCTAAAAAAGAAATCATATTTTGCCTCTTAGTTCAAAACCCGTGATGAACCAAAGGTTTGTAGCCATGGACATAGTCCTCTAATTTTGCAAAAAATAATTTTAAAGGAAGGAGATGGTCCGGGGTGGCGGTCATAAATAGGCTAAATAGTGGTAAAACTATTTTATTAAAAGCCAACGTTTCGACCCGACTTTGCATCTCTTCCTCAGGGAGGTGTGTTCAGCTAGGAGTTTCACTTAGAACTTAAGTTCAGTTCTAAGTGAAACTCCTAGCTGAACACACCTCCCTGAGGAAGAGATGCAAAGTCGGGTCGAAACGTTGGCTTTTAATAAAATAGTTTTACCACTATTTAGCCTATTTATGACCGCCACCCCGGACCATCTCCTTCCTTTATAATGCAACGGTCAACTATTAAATATTCACAAAATAATTTTGTTACAGAATGTGATATTAATTAACATAAGTAGGTAATAATTATCTTATAACATAAAAAAGATTATTAAATTTATTTATTTATTTTTTAACAGAATTGTTAACATTTGAGAACCTTGATACAAGAATTAGGTTTGGTCTGTGGATAATATAAATGTTTCGATTGACGCAAGAACTGAGGGAAAATGTAACATTAATCTTCACCTGTATGGTAAATAATGTGGAAAAGACTGCACCATCAACCCTTAGAAAATCTGTTACCGTTTTTTTTTAAAAACCACGTATGACCAGACTTACTAATATATTGAGTGCGTACCTCTAAGTAAAAACTCGAACTCACTGATTTATTCAAAGCCTAATAGTGGAGTTAGCTGGTATCTTACTTAATTTATTTTTAGATTAGTTGAAACATTTTTAAGTTCTAATAATATATAAAATGTTTGCTCTTCTATCCCAAAAATTTTATTTTGTAAATTTAATTTACATATTTCGGTACACAGCCATCTTCATCCCATCTGAAATTTTGAAAGCTTATTGAACATTTAATTTAAAAAGGTTGCAGTTTAAGCAAATATATATATATATATATATATATATATATATTTTTATATGCTGATGATGGCTATATGCCGAAATGTCATATCGCTGCTATTAATGCAAAAAGGCCGTATTTAAAAATTTTTTGAAGTGAAAACTTCTTTAGGCGTGTTTCGCACTTTTTTGTAGAGATTGCATTAGATTGATACCTCAGATTTCCGAAGTGTTAACGTTCGGGTAAAGTTGGTTAGAGTCAACTATTTGAAATGCTTTTATATATGGATTAAAATATTTTAGAAACTAAAAATCGGACCTGCACACTGTAAACAGAGGAATTGTTTAGCATTTCATCCTCTCTGTGATAGGCTATAATTCAAAATTGTATCTCAACTCGACGCCGTGTTAGGGAGGCGAAAAGAAAAAATAGTGTCGAAAACCAAATGATAACGAGTTTAGTTGAACACATAGATTAAAATATTTCAGATACGAAAAATTAGACCTGTATACAGTAAGCCAGGGAAATGTTCGGGATTTTATCTTCTTTTTAATGAGTTTTTATTCGAAATTGTATCTTAATCCAAAATCATGTTAGAGAGTAGGAGTGGGAAAAAGATAATAATAATATTTTATTTATTCTGGGATGAATCCCTTTAGAATAATTAACAAGGACAGAAATCTGGGCTTTTGAGCCTCAGATATATATACATGTATTTACAAAGTTAACTTTTAGATATAATAAAGAAAAAAAAGTTATCTTCTAGATTAAATAAATTAAGAAAAAAAAAATGAAAGAACAAGTAGATGAAAATAATTGGAAATAAACTAATAATATATATACATATTTACAGAAGTTTCTATTTACGATTTTTGAGAGATTGGATGGAAAGAAAATGATTGAATAGGCAGGATTTAAAAGTAGGGAGAGTATTGGACGGATGTCGGAAGATGGTGTCCAAAACCAAATTATAATGAGTTTTATTGAAGATATGGATTAAAATATCTTAGAAAATAAATATTGGACCCGCATAATGTAAAAAGGGAATTGTTCACCATTTCATTCTCTCTGTAATGGGCTATTATTCAAAATTGTATCTTAGTTTGTTTACAGATGAGCATAAAAACTTACTAATTCTTTATGATTTATTGGTATAATTTCATATTTTATTTCTCTCTGCGATTTTCCATAGTAGCAAACTACTTATTGCAGTTGCAGACTACAAAATTACTACAAAACCTTTAGCATAAATAGAATAAACATGGAAAATTATTACTTACAACCTTTACACTAACAATTGCGTTATGTAAATTAAAATAACAAAATAAAATTTGTGGATTGGAAGATCAAACATTTTATCTATTATTAAAAGGAAAACTATTTTTCAAACTTCTCTTGAAGAGCAAGGTATGATTGTCATAAGATGTAATTGTATTGATAGGATATTGGCAAAGCAGCCTCCCTGTCTAATATTGCACTTATAACTATTCACTTATAAAACAATAATTCCTGGACCCACTGTTTCATTGCTTGGGTAGAAAATGATGGAAATGTACTCCCAATAAATGATTATAATGTCTTCCTTTAAATTAAGTTCTATTAAATATCCATTTTTTTATTTTTAGTTATTTTAAATGTTTTAAAAGTCTTAAATGAAAGAATATTACTAATTTTTTCTGCCTCTTAAACTCCTGATTGTTTAACGGTTGAACCGTTACCATATTTTACATTTTTAATTATGTTTACCTTTCTTAGTATTTGGAAATTCAACAATGGTATACATAGGTCCTTTACGTTGAACAGACAATCCTAGATTGAAAACTAGTCCATCGTCTTCAACATGGGGGTGAGATGTGTGGTGAACTATATTTAAATTGTTAAGATTAGAGATATTCACCTAAAATAAACAAATAACCAAATGTTGTATTATTTTATTATTAATTTTTGTTTCTATTAAGATTAACAACATAGCAATAAGTTTTATATTCCCAATAGGAAAAATCTTGCATCACACAACTTCCACTTACCACCCTCTTAGCATAAATAAGTATTTTCAGACAAAGGGGAAGTGAAATTAAAAATTATTAACGCTATATTGATTTATATTTCATTATGGATATTTTTAATTGTTTAAGTACCCTTATATATACAAATTTTAATATTTATATCGCTGTAATCTATACTATTAAATATTAAATAATACCAACGAAAACATTTAGAAAAACCGCATATGTATATGTACATAATATTGTCGGAGTCCGTATTATATTAAGCTCATGTTACTATGAAAGCCTGTTCTAATCTTCGGGTGAACTCGGGCGTGTTCTAGTATCCCTTTCGTTTCTTCATTACAACTATTCTCCATTACAATCTCTTATTTCTCCATTAGTTAATTATCAAATTCTTTTATATTTTATATTTAACTATTTTTTATATTAGAGATCAATGTGAAATGGTTTATTATTTCAGATAAAAAAAATTAAAGGTACTTTAGAGGAAGCTGATATTGAAAATTAGCCATTTAAGCCCTGTTAGAGAACATCAATGAGATTAAAACCTATATAATATTAAAAACTGCTTAATTTTACACTGATATAATGAATTTAACCAAAATCATTGGAGCCGTTTTTGAGAAAATTATAAAAATGAGTTTCATCGATGATATCAAGTGCCACTTCCGGTTAGCTGATTTTGAGGAAAAAGTTGCTGTACCATCTCAGGTATATACAAACCTTAAATATGCAATTTCACTTTCATTCATCCGACTTTTTGTTTCTGAGCTAGACCTATCACATATATACACACAGACACATGCACACACAGAGACCATTTTGTGGAACTTGGTTATTTACATTCAGGAGACCTGAAAACATATATTTCCGTTGAAAACTTAGATTCGAAAATTTTCACGATCACAGTATTGTCCCTTATTATATATTTCATATATAAGTAAGTAAAAGTAAAAAACAAAAGTGATTATGTGTTAATACATAATATCAAAACCTTCTTTATTTAAATAAAAACCTACTGCAAGATAACCAGGAACCATAACATCAAATTCACTTCATATGTTTGTTTTGTTTTTTAAAAATGATTTTTAGTTTTCTATTCTTTTATATACATTTGTACTTGCTTATTTGTTAAAAATTACTTACAGAATTCATGGTCTTCAATGTATCTTTATCTATTCTGTACATCACCGGAGCCTCTGTTAATGTGTAGATTTCATCCTTATATGGATATACAGATACCAAACAGTTATCAGAATCTTCAAATTTAAAATACGATGCGAATCTGTTAAGTTGAAAGTATAATGAAAAATAGACATTTCTTAAGATTTTTAACCGGACTTTTGACTATCAATATTTAAACATAATATATTTTAATTTATGATGACATTAGAACTTACTTTTGGAATATTGTCTTGCAAGGATCTGCCACTGCTCTGGTTCCGAATTCATTCACAACTATTCTTTGTGCTGCTTGATTTCTTTTATATGTCTTCGATTGGAGGAATCTACATTGGTAAGTAGCTGAACCATCTTTAATGTAAAACCTGTTTTGTTGAAAAATCAATTTTAGTTATTGATTTCATACATGATAAAAATATTAGTGATCATCCTAAAAATTTACGATGATAAATCAGTTTTGTTCTTTTATTAAAAACAAACAATATCTCTGCTCACTGACATTGTTTCATAAAACTTTGCTTTCTTAATGGTTTAGAATATATTGATCAACATGTGCTTAGAATTCTTTGAAAACGGTTGGTAGATAAGGTTGAAATGAAAAATAATTTCATTCTGGGATTAAAGTACCCTTAGAATAATAGCAGAGTTCAAAAAATATACATATCAGTCTGGAATTGAGATATAATACAAATATATACAAAAAACACAAAGAGAAAAGTAAATTATAAAAATAAAATGGCTCTTATCAACTAACTATTGGTAAGTTATTGTAATTACATAATCTAGAAATTCATACAGGCTTGCGGAAGTTTGAATGTGTAGTAGGTGGGGGAATAGGAGCTGTTTGAAATAATTTATGGACGAGGTTTGACATATGGAGATTGGTAAGGAGTTCCAAAAGGAGGTAGCACAAATGACAAATGATTTGCTAAAGGAAGTGGTTTTATGGGAAGGAATTTATAGATCTATAAGCATGGTATATAAGTAGTTTATTTCATAAGTTCCTCTCTGTTACTGCTATTATTTACTTTATCAGTTACTAGCTTTGTTATCATTATGTTATATATCCTAACTTTGCTTCCTCTACTTTCTATTCTTAACTTTATTATTGTTATTTTATATTTCCTTTACTTATGTTTTGTATTTCTGCCTCTCCAGTTATTTATTAATGTTAAGTTTATTCTACCTCCATGTTACTAGACTATACCTTGCACCTAGATATTATTAATTTTACTGTTAATAGTTTCTTGTCTTTTTTTAGCTCTGATGAAGGCTTGAACTTAACTGAACTGAAACGTCTGCAAAAATAAAAACTAATATAATTTTTTTATTTCTACTATGTATTTACTTCAGTCAACCATGAATCCACCATTAAATAAAATAAATGAATTTAATATCGTTTAATCATATTTTTTTTGTTATTTAAAATTTTATATTTTTAATTATAGCAAATACCTGTGTAACAAAGCAGCACCGTCAAACAGATGATTATAAGAATAATCTCCCACAGTCATAGCTCCAGGCCCGTTCCTTATCAGTACACCATTTAGCCAGCGTGGTATAGTTCCTATGTAATTTGTTTAATTAATTGAATAATTTGATTAATTAAGTTATTTATATACAAATTTAGATATAAATCTTCTGAATTTTAAGCTGTATATATCTATTGATTTAATTTAATTTTATGGATAGTTGACTTCTACCATAATGCTATTTTATTTAATAAACATTAATCATATTGAAAATTTATCATTTTGTGATTTCACCGCCATCTTCAAAATATTCTGCAGACAATTTTTACTTTCTCTTACCTATATATGTAATATATAATAAGGGAAAGTATTGCGATCATGAAAATTTTCGAATCTGAGTTTTCAACGGAACATGATTTGACGTCCCCAAAAAATTTGAAGTGGAGAACAAACTGAGGAATTTTCAAGAGGTAATGGATAGAGAGAAGTATGAGGAAAGCAGGGAAAATCGGCAAATTGAGAAGAAATGGAAAGTTGTAAAGGAAGCTATATGCAAGGCAGCGGAAGAGACATTCGGAGAAATTACAAATGAAGGAAATGAGGAATGTTTCAACGAAGAATGTGCGAAAGCCATTGAAGAGAAAAACCAGGAGAACTATACAATGAAAAGAAGAGCACCTAAGAAAGTCTGTAGAGAGGAAAAGGAAAAAAATGATTAGTAAAGGCTTGAAAGTATAGAAATGTTGAACTGTGTGCATGAAAGCAGGAAATTTTATAAGGGAATTAATTGGTTCAGAAAAAAATATCAGTTGAAGCTGAATAATTGTAAAAGTAAAACAGGAGTGGCTTTGGATGAAGAAGGAGAGGTGATGAACAGATGGATCGAACACTTCTCAGAGTCGCTGAACATTAGCCTGGAGGAGGAGGATGTTGAGAATGAAGAAGAGTGCCAGTTGAGCCTGACAGAGAAGATATCAAGTTTGCCATCATGGCACTTGAAGAACTGTAAACTAAAATTATTTAAAAGGAAAATAATAATAATAAGGATTTACGGTGCTACAAGTGTTAATGGTGAATGGAAATCAAAATCAAAAGTAACAATGAAATCGAGGCTATATTAGAAAATCAAAACATAACTAACTATATCAAGCCAAGTAGGCTGAGATGGGCAGGACATGTGGTCAGAATGGAGGATGTACGGGTACAGAAGAAAATATTGGAAATGCACTCCAGTGAGAAGAGGAAAAGAGGAAGGCCGAGAAGCAGATGGAAGGATGAAGTGGAGAGAGATGTGAGGAAGTTAGGAGTTCACAATTGGAAGAGAGAAGCACAGGACAGAGAGAAGTGGAGAAAAATAACTCAGGAGGTCAAGGGTCATGCTGGCCTGTAGCACCAGAGAGTTAGTTAGTATATGCCTTGGATGTTACTGCAATTATTTTTTGTTAAAATCAACTAACCAGAAGTGGCACTTTATATCAACGGTTATACACATTTTTAAAATTTTCTCAAAAACAGCTCCAACGATTTTGATTAAACTCAGTGTATCATTTTATAATTAAGTGGTCTTTAATATCATTGAGGTCTTATCCCTATTGATGTCACTTCACAGAGCTTAAATGCTTAAATGTTCAACATGTTTTCCTCTAAAGTACCTTTAATTTGGTTTATTTTAAATAATTAACTATCTCTCATTATTAAGAGTTACGAAAAAATGCTAAATATAACTTTTGAAAGAATTTGATAATTGAAAAATTGAGAGAAAAAGGAAAACGTTTAGTTAGGTCGAAAATGAATTTCTGGAAATACTAATCAGAAGGTATACATTTTATATATCGTTGGAATACGGAGAATTTCAGAAAAAAACAATACTAATATAGAAAGTCATGGAAAGTAATGAAAAGTGACAAAAAAATTATAAATAATAATTTGTGAAAACTAATATTATTTAACAGAAATCACATGTTTTTAAGTCCATTAAATGAAACTTATTAACTAAATGTAAACTTTTTCGAGTTTGAAAAAAGTATTTAAAATCTATCTAATCAAGGCAATTGCATTGTTTAAAAAACTATTTCATAGTAATTATGTGAAAGGGGAAGTGAAAAAAAAAATTAATGGGTGTATAAAGCATATGTTTATAATCATAATTACATTTACTGTAGCTTAATAATTGTAGATCTGATATTATATTTAAATAATTAGGTATCAACGTCCGTTTATTCCAAAAAATTGTCATGTAACCTTTTAGAAAATTTAATTAGTGAATAATTTGATAAATTTTCTCTTTATGAAATCCAAACATTATACACTTAAAATTAGTGTGACAACTTTTGGCCTATCTATGGCAGGCAATGAAAATCTCGTATTTTCATTTTAGTAAACTTTACAATGGAAAATAACAGTTTAATAACTAATGGTCCTACAAACCATAATCATTTATTGGTTAACTATACATATATACTTTCACATCTTTCTAGGCTTATATGAGCCTTTTAGTTGACAGAATGACTAACTCCAATTGGAACATTCTTTATTATTAATTTTAGTGATGTTTCTCGTGGCAAAATTTATACCTTTATTCACAGTTCTATATTGCAATGCTGCAATCCCCTACTCTGGAATCAACTTACTCACTGTCTGTATAGATATAACTTTTCCAACTAGAAATATCACTACAATGTCATTACTCAAAAATGTTGAAATTAAAAAATGTTGAGTTAGGCATTCTGAAAAAAAGGCACACTTAGTTCAGAGACTGAATCCTATCATTCATATAGGCATACAATCCATAATCATTTATAGGTTGAATATAGAAATATACTTTCATATCTCGCTAGGCATATATGTTTAGCTCAGAGACTTAAGTTATGTGGTTAACAAAAACATATGGAATACCGGGGTTTTTATTGTCTACCGTTGAAATAATTAATAGGGTTTTTGTTATTTTAATGATCTTAATGATTTGTTAGCTGTAAGCTTTAAGCTATAAGTGCACTTCGAAAATTTTTTAATTAATCAACATTGCCAGAAAATAATTTCTGTTCAAAGTAGAGAGCTAAGTGAGAGTGTGTGTTACGCGCACCAGATTTTTTTATTTTATATTATGTATACTTTTTTTTCCAACATAATATTTATTTATTTTTTTTTTGTATAGCCTGTTTTACAAGTATTACACCTGTAGGCTCCCCAATTAAGAGGGTAATGGTCTAACTTCCCGCGGGGACCAGCCGTATTGGGAAGTAGGGCCGGGATTCGATCCTATGATAATATTTATTTAATATCTAAAATTTTATGTAGCTATAATTTAATTTCTTTTACTTAGTATAATATATTTTTTGAAATTTTCATAAGTGTTGTTATTACTGATACTGCTGCGGCTACCGATAGAGGAACTAGTCCAGAAAGTGGTTCTTATGGTCCTTTTTACCAAGTCAATATTTTCTTTGGTATAGTTTAAAATAAGTAGATGACTTTTTTTTTCCTTAGCCTTAAAAACATCCTAATTAAAAATCGTAACTTTATAGCTGTAGTTTTTTTTTTAAAGTACCATAATAGTATGTATACCAATGACTGATAATGCATTATTTATATCAGTTTAGATGCTGCAGAGGGAGACACAACATTTTTAAAAGGTCCAGATAAAAACAGAAAATACTACAAATGAGTATTTATTTTATTAAACTAGACCTATAGGCAAGGAGTGAGGAGAAAATATAAAAATATTATTTAAATATAAAGAGAACTTGCCTGAGGTTTGACCCGCCAGAGGTTCCACTACCTCTTCTTTGCATTCCCTAAACCATACTGTTACATCACAATCTGGTATCAGGTCTTCACCATCTTTGTGCCTCTTCTGCCTCTCTTCTTCTCCTTCAGCATTTACTTTGTCTATCTCATTCTGAATGATCCTCTCATATTCTCCTGATGGAAGCATTGGTGCCCAGTCTGGTCCCTAAATGAACATTAACTTGTTTATAATGGTGTAGGGATGGTTGACCGTGATTATGATATGAGAAGGAGTTGGATTATAATATGATTAACTTTTTTAATATCTTCACTTAGCTTACTTGAAATTTAAGATTAACAGAAAAAAAAAATTGATCTTATGTTTTTCAAACGTATGATGCTTTTCATTATCATGTGAAAATCACTTTCAACTTTTGATATACATATATCACTGATATATAGATATAGATATAATATGGTATATATAGATATATAGATATAGATGATATCCCAAAATATTTAAAATTGTGTATTTAACACCTAAAAATATCATCTATTGTGTTTAATTTATTATATTAAGTAGAGACCGTATTTCCATGTTATTGTGCATTTTATTCGATTTAATCAGATTTTGACATATTAATATAATAAATTAAATTAAATAGATGATTTTTGCAAGTTTTTAGGTGTTAATTATAAAATTTTAAATATTTTTGGATTTTTATTATACGGTTTTGCATATTTTTAGTTTTTTACTCCATGTTTTTTGGATTTTTACTGCACGAAAATCCGGTTTCTCTCTCTCTCTCTCTCTCTCTCTCTCTCTATATATATATATATATATATATATATATATATATATATATGTTTCAAATTTTAATGCCTCATTGTATGTAATTATAACATCACTTTGTTAAATCTGAAATTATATTTATATTTACATAGTTGGCTCATGCAGATTATTTGCATGGTATATTGGTTCAGAGTCGCCATTAAGGGAAGCAATTATTTAAAAGGTGGAGTTAATTTAAGGTGAGGAAATTAATCCTGATTTGGTTATTAGTTTCTTTCAAAATTTTGAAATAGTAACAACCAACCGGTCCCTGATAATCAATTTTCCAGTGTCTAAATTGCTACGGGAAGCCTCACAATACTTCTTCACTGAAAACAATTTCTCTCTGGTAGCCTCCAATCAAAACTACTATTCTATGTTCACAATCATAGGTACAGATTTTCCTTTCTGGTTGGAGGAGGGAAGGGGCGATGGACCCCTCCAAAAAAAGATGTCTTATGTAAAAAATTACGAATGATAATAACATATAATTATCATAAAACAAACAATATAATATTATATATAAACATAAATTTATATCTTATTCATTCTTTTTTATTTGTTATTTGTTTTGTGTATAGGTATATTTGAAAATATGTTAACAAAGCAATTGAATAGATTACATGCTTCAAATTCGGCATTGGAAATTTGATAAAATCATAACATAAAAATGGAAGGAGGCACTTGAATGAATCATAAAACCATCCGATATGTGGCTACATATGATTATCTTTGGATATATATTAAAATTTCAATAACAAGAACATAACACTTTGATATTTGCGTACCTAATAATACCTTAACTTAGCTATCTAGACGACTTCCCATTTTATTTATTGATTTTAGTCTACATATTTTTTTCATTCATATAGATTAACTTTTATTGATTTTGAATTTTTTTTTTTCTTCGGAATATTGGAGGGCGAAACAATATTCTCCTCCTCTCTTCCCCAAAGACTGCACCTATACTCACAATACACAGATTTTATCCACCGTAGAACTGCTGATGGCCTAGTACACTTTAATCTTGGGCAAAAAAGACCAGTTCCGGGAAGGCCACTATGAAGGAGTGACATACAAGTAAAACTCATTCTCCCCACAGGTGGATCTATGGTGAGGTTTCTGGTTGAAGCCCTCCTCCTTCCCCAAAATGGTAAAATATAACCATGTTTTATAGAAAAAAATATTACAAACTATTTCTTAAAGTATTATTGTTTGTGTAATTACATTTAATAGGACTTCAAGAATCACTTAAACACTATGTCATGTAGGTAGTTAATTTCTTTCTTTTTTTTTTCAAATTAATTATCGTTATATATGAAAAAAAAGCTTTCCAGCTGAAGCCCCTCCTCCCCTCCTCCCCCCCGAAATTAAATCCTGGATCCGCTAGTGATTCTTCCTAAATAGAAAAATCCTAAATGACTGTAAGGAACAGTTTAATAATGTTAATAATTGTATCATTTCATATCGGTGACTCTGGTTTATATCGATTCCACCTAAAACCGAAGCATTCCTTTCTTCATTGGTCGTACTAATTATGAGAAAATGAAGCATTAAACGATTTTTTTTTTTTAGATTTCTTGAATTTTGAAAATTGCTCTAAAGAACTTGTACTTTATATAAAAATAAGTACTTACCACATTATGGGCGGCGAGGTACTTCTTGTGCAATAGGCTGGGCTGAGCGACCAGCGACCGACTGGCGGACGGAGCAGACCCCATTATGTCCCGAAGGCTGCCCCCCGTCCTTGTTATAGTTAGGGGTAATTGTCCAAACCATTTATTCTATTATCTAGTGTTGTCTTTCTCATTCCTCACTCATATCTTCTACATCCCTGTCATTTAAGAAAAGTCGCAGTCTTTTCAGCGGGGTGAATATGATGGCGTAACTGAGGGCGAGTGCGACACAATTCTGGAGCTCTTCCCATGCGCCCCTACTTGATTTCCTGGAAAAGATATAACTTTATTTCTCAACATTTCTTGCTATGCACTACTGAATGGAGCTATTGGTCTGAGGGCGGGATGGCCGAGCTTGCTAACGCGTGTGAACAGCACCGCGTTGCCCGGCAACCTGATAGAAGATAAATTGATAAAATAATGAGTTCGCGTTATGGTGCTCGGTGAGAAAGGGCCTTTTAACTCTGACATCAATCATCCACCCTCACTCCCTGGCCCTGGAAAACCCCGTATAGCCTAAAAGGTAAGGAACGGGAGGAACGAAAAGAAAAAAAAAGAGGTAGTGGTCTACCTAATATTTGAGTAAGAACTTTATTATGAAACAAAAAGTCATTGTACATTTGTGCTCAAGATAAAAGGATTTATAAGCAATGGTGTAGACAAGGCAATGCGGCGCATAGGAGCGGAGAGGGGGCCATGCATACTGGGTTGCCCATCCCCCTCCCCACAATGTCGATGACGCATAAATCATTCCTCTCTCCAAACATTGTATTACCCTCCTCTTCTTAAAAACAGTGCAAGCAAAAGTATAATCACAAAATCTTATATCATAAACAATTGCACTAGTTTATTTATTTCCACCCTCCCATGCCACTTTAGCAATACGGGTGCATGCAGTAAGTAGTATGATGTTAAGCATTACATAATTCAATACTGTGCACACAGATAGCTCTTTTTCTTTTCATTCTTCAACAAATCAAGTCTGGCTTCCAATGAGTGCTACCACTGATTAGTTTCTCAACAAGCTGTTTCATGCTATTATATTCCTGGAGTGCACATTTACTAGATTTTTATATATAAGGATAATTAAACAAATACAAATATCCACTATGAAATGTAAATAAGTACAGCGTCGTCTCTAATTTTAACTTTCACTTCCGCTCTGTCTGAAAATACTTATTTCTGCTAAGGAGAGGGTGGTAAGTGAAAGTCGTGTAATGTGTGCACCAGATACTACATCGTAAAGCCAATTAAAGCACATACATTGGCCGTTAATTAAAGCATTCATAACTTCTAAGGATCATCTCCATATTCAGCATTAGTACAAAAGTTGGAAAGCTGAATTACTGGTCTTCTAACCACTAGAATGGGAGAGAAAATTTTATCTTGAAAAGAGTAACTACATATCCGGCGCTTTTATTATTGTTAATTTAATTCACAATGAATTGTATTAAACAGCACTGGTGTACAAAACACGCATTGCCCGACAACCACATAATCCGAAGTTAACAAAAAAATAATTACGAGTTCAATTAGCCTCCTGGTAGATGGGGAGCGTGTTAACTCTGCCATTAGTCCCCTGGCCCATGACAAATCCCTAAAATATAATAATTAATTATTATAATTATAGTATAGTATTATAATTATAAGGTTTTTTAAAAATTATAACACATACTTTTACAAAGTATGTGTTATAATACTTTTGAGCTACCATATGTAAGCAAAAAATATACTCATTTTATTAATGATAGCATGAATAAGTTACCATTATTAAAAAAAATAAGTTTGATCCCAAAAATAATTGAATCCGCACCGGGCATTGATTATAATCTTATAAGTTGGTCCATCTTATCTGTAATAATTGTTGATTAATTATTATAAAATTGGATTGCTTTGGTATTAAAATATTGATTACATATTTTACCTTATTATTGTAGGGTTGTCTGTTCTCTTCTTTCGTTACAAAATTTCATGTTCTATTCTGAAAATACCTGAAATACCATTTTGGAGTTATAAATCATTTACTAAAAAAAAGTCCGAAATTCCGTTGTTGACTGGCCGCCATTTTATGTTCCGGCAGATTCATGTTAGCAGATGTCTCTGTTTTAGCTTTTATTGAAAGACAAAAGTTTTGAAATACTTGAGACTTCATGTATAACAAGTAACGTTTTTCTGCATGGGCTCCCGTTCTAATACTACTGTTCATATTTACTCCCACGATTGTTCATGTTGCTGCTCGGGCTAAATAGTAATTATGAAATACCGGTTGATTCCACTATTTTAGTGTAGATCCGAATGTATGTAAAGAAATTAACCTAGTAACGATGGGTTGTATTGAACTTGCATTCCTAGGGAGCTCTGACGACATATCAATCGATATGATCGCCATGCGTACAACTAAGTGCTGCATCTTCATTTAGAAACGAATAAATAGGTTGGAACGTGAGATAGTTTTATCTATGAGAAAACTTTAAAATGTTTCCACAGTTCCCGTTAAAACTGTTGTTTACTTACTGTCTAGTTAACCGTTCTTCCTATAGGAATACTGTATGGATGGTCTTCGGCTATACTCCAGAAATAAGAAGGGCTTTTATTATTGATGAAATGAAATGAAAAATAATTTTGTTCAGTGACTTAAATTAGAATAATAGCAGAATTCAAAAAATATGTACACCAGCCTGGCATGTTGATAGAATACGAATATTTACAAAAAAAAAAAAATAATAATAAGAACAAAACAAACAAATAAAATGGCCCTTATCAATTAACAGTTGATAGGAAATGGTAATTACGTAAACTAAAAATTCTTACGAACTTGTGGAAATTTGAATGTGTAGTAGGTAGTAGGAATAGAAGTTGTTTGAAGGAATTTGTACACGTGGTTTTACGTATGGAGAAAAGTAAGGAGTTACGAGGTAGCAGGAATGACGAAGGAATTGGTGCCAAGAAAGGGATTTCATGGCACAAGTTGCGCCATCAAAGTTTTATGAGAGGGGGGGGGGGCACATTTGTACGCGGTTTTAATGCTTGAGGAGGCTAATTTCTACGGGGTTATGAATTTTTGGAATGAAAAGTTTCAATCCAGCTGACAAGGGAAACAGCATGGACCAGATTACAACAAGTTTAATTGTATATGGCCTATGATTTTTCCAATTATACGTTTGCTTACATGTTTTAAAGAAGAAATAAGCAATAAAATTTCTTGGGAGGAGAAGCAGATTTTTTTCGTCATCGACATTGGATGGTGGGGGGAATGGGCACCCCTGGACGAAGGATTGGTGAAGGAATTGGTTTTATGGCAGGAGATATATAGATCTATAGCTTGAGAACTGGTATTGAGAGAGTGGACAGAGGAACGTAGAGTAAGGAGTTCTAAGGTTTAGGTAGACTTTTGGATTCTGAGGACTTGGAGAAGGAAAACACTAAGAAGGAATTGTCGTCGGGATTGATGGCCGTTTTTAAATATTTGGTATTTTTAATTGAGTAAATATTAATAAATGATATTTGAATAACAATAAACGATGTTACTCCTTGGCAGATCCGCCTGTTCTTGGAATCATTAATGCTCCTTATAATGTGACAAATAAAATTATTCATAAATATCTCAAACAAACCATTTGTTATACATTTGGCACATAAGAGATATAGGAACTTCTTTTAATTGCAAACTCTCTCCAGTTCATAGTCCTTCAACCCAAGTTGTTCCTGGCATCCTTACAGGACGTCTTAAAAGATGACTAAGGAACCCCCTAAATTAAAACAGTCTTTGAAATGGGACCCATAGTTTGGGAAATAGCTTCACAACCTATTACAGTTTCTTATATTCTTACAGCAGCTTTATTTATTGTATTTTATACATATAGTTGTAAACTTTAATAAATGAACAGAAAAAAAATCGTTGCACTCTTCTTTGACCGATTTATTATCCTAATTGACTAAAAATATAAATTGTATTACCAAATGAATTGTAAAAAATAGAAGTTTAGTATTAACGTGAGAAAGAAATAACAAAAGAAAAATCTTGGAAGTTTCGTTACGTCAGCCTTTAATTGTAAGATTACCCTGAATTAATACAATCTCGGCGAATGACAATTCCATCGTTTCATTCAATTGACGACCACACACCACGGCTTACTATATCTCATCGATTAAATTTGGGGGTAATTTAAATGGCCAAAATTCAATAAGTTAAGTAATGATTAATTACATGATCTTTTTCAATCTTTAAGACAGAGAGAGACAATGTCACATTAATATTATTTTTTAAGTGATTTTTTCTCTTTCAATAAGTTATTTATTATTTAGAAGCTGATAAGCACTAATTGTTAATTCGTTTTAGATTTAGTTACGGTAATTACTTTCAATATCCAGGAACTAAGGGTATTTGAGTGGCTATAAAGTAAGCAATGGAGTAACTGAGATCATACGCAAGGGAGGGCTCCTCTCCTAATTAATTTGAAAGGAACTAAAACATAATATTATACAGAAGGTTTGTCAAAAATTCGATAAAATATTTTTTTTAAATTATTGTTCTATATATTATATTTCATATAAAAATATGTATAAATTGTAATAGTAAGTATAAATTGTAATAGACCACTTAATATAATTTGACATCATTTATCTACTTGAAATTTTCCACCTTGCACCTCCTTCTAATATGAAAGCTCCGAAATCTCTTGCCTTAAGTCGAAAAAATAACTCAGAACAAACGGTTAAATCTGTACTGCGAGACTTTATAATTATAGTACAGTCAGGTTTGGAGTCGGTCTAAAAGAATACCTATAGTAAAAGGTTTGGATATGAATTACGAAAGTGAACGTTATTTCAAGTAAAATGAACCTTTTCGGCTTTTCCAAAACCACTGATTTCATAAATATAATGTCTGTAAATTTAAGATTGAAGCAGAGGTTATGTTGCCAAAAATGTGGTACTAGTTTTATTTTTTCAACCTATACTGAAGTATATACGTATGGGTGAAAAAAAAAAACAAAACGAAAATGCTAACACAGGCCATCTCGCGAAAACTTTGCAGCTAAGAGAAC